ATATCTGGGGTCTGCCTCACCTGTTGCCTGGCAACAACTGATGAGAAAAAAAGCTGGTGGTGCTCCAGTGATTAAAATTTCCTGGGTAGCAGTGTTTGATCCGCAGTACGCTGTCATTGTCTCTCCACAGCTTCATAAGAAACCCAACACTGGGGTAGCAAGAGAGGGAAGAGAATACATAAACTTTCTCACTCTTGTCAAAAGGTGGCTGGCTTTGCTCACTGACTTTTCCTCTAATTTTTTGAGGATAAAGAAGCCGCCGCCCCCCCAACTCGCCAACTCAAGTGAACTCAAGACTTTTTTTACTCTACCCCCCTCCTGTCATACTAGTCACTTTGACGATTCACTGGTCACATTTTTTTTCTTTCAAACTGAGGCCCAAAAAAAAGAGGAAATACATCAATTGAGGTCACACCGAGGGTCAGGCACAGAAAGCGGTGGCCCTGCTCTCAGTTTATTTAAGTGTTGCTGTCGAGGGGGAGAGGGAAGTGGAGACACCGCTTCGGAAGGAATGTGTAGTTAATGCCACGCTCATGGTCAAATTAGTCAGGCCTGCTGAGGGGATTCCTCCTGGGGTCACTTCCACAGTAAAGCACAACATACATACATGAAGCTGGTATTTCCACACTTACACATGCAAATACACATTCATAAACAAACACACATGGGGGGAATGTGGTGCTAACATGCATAATAAGAAGCTGCTTAAAGGAATAGTTAGAATTTTTCAGAAATGCACGTATTTGTTAGATGAGAAGATCGATACCACTCTTTCATCTGTACAGTAAATAAAAAACTACAGACAGGAGCTGGTTAGCTTAGCTAGCATAAATCCTGGAAACAAGTGGAAACAGCTAGCCTGGCCCTTTCCAAAGGCTAGTTTTAGTAGTTTTATGGGGAATTATGTGTCAAACTACTTCTTAGCCGGGTGCAGAGACTTCCTGGCATCTCTGCTGGTCACCAGGCAACCTCATGTTGACAATAAGGCTTCAGAAATTCACTGCTTCTGGATGTTTCCGTAAAGATTAATCAAAAAATATAAAACCTGTTCATTTGGGAGCTTTAGACGTGCTGTTTATCACAGTACAGGTCAAGTTGGTGAATCAGTGATAATTGCCCCCCTTCACCACCACCCCACACACACACACACACACACACACACACACACACACACACACAGTACCCTTCTCGTTTGACCTTCTCTATACAAAACTCTGACCTGCTTTCCCTCTGTGTGTACAGCTGACAGCTCTTGCTCACAGTGATTATCTGTCCTTGACTACCTTCTCAATCCCTCTTACTATGAAATGATCCCCTCAATCACCCCAGTATACACAGACATGCAGCCACACAAGCACACACACACACACACACACACACACATTTAAGATAAGGTTGCCCCACCTGCCCACAACACATGCACCTGTCTTATCCTCGGTTATATTAATCTAATCCTCCCTGTCTGTGTGTACAATAGAATTTCAAGAATCAATAATTATTTATTAGAACTTGACTAGATCCTGTGTGTGTGTGTGTGTGTGTGTGTGTGTGTGTGTGTGTGTGTGTGTGTGTGTGTGTGTGTGTGCTCACACAAGTCTATTTTCATAACATTGGACACCCTCTGCTGCCCCGTGTCACTGTCTCTCTCTGCTTGCTTCATGCTGAGAGAATGTGCAGGATTGCCACTGGGATATCTGCAGCTTTAATAGATGCAACGTCAGAAAAACCTGCATATAAGGCCACAGACTGAGCCACTGTGTTTTCACAGACCCCAGTGAGGCACGCGCTATCACTTGCTGTCCACACTGAGCCCGGCCTAATTCATTAGCTGATGACAGGACAGTGGATCAACACTGTCACTGTCATCTGGGAATTTTATGAGTCATAGGCCGGGGAATGAACAGTTTGCAGATCACAGGCATGAGCTTTGTGGTGTATTGGTGTGTTTGATATTCTGGTGGGGTTGAGGATTAAGAGCACGTGTTTCTTAATAAGGCAGAGGTAAAAGGATTTATGCAATGTCATACGAATATAACAAGGTAACTGAATGATATTTGGAGCTTAAACCAGGGAATGATGACGTTCCCCTCACAGGTGCCCTGTGGCATTTCTTTGTGAGCAAACAAATGTTTCGCTATGTTTTGTTTACATTCAGCATTACTCACCAAAACTCTTTGTGTGTACCCTTGAGGTCTAACAAACATGTCAACTGCCTTTCCTACCTCGTAAAACATTTGCAGAATTGTTTACATTCGTGTTTACTAGCTGGCACCTCTTCTTGTCCTTTGTTGATGCATCAAACAAAACAGGGACCCAGTCATATAAACTGCACCATAGTGCTACTGGATGAAAAACTGCACCACCCTAATTAATATTTTTATATTAACAATGGAGGAAATGACTCCCTTTGTCGCTTGTAGTAAAGACAATTATGATCCAACTCTCAGTGTTTTGGTTTTATGGCTCGCAACTTTACTATTTAAAGTTGAATACTGGACTTATATTTGTCTGGAGTTCAGAGACGCGACTCCAAATGAAGGCTAATGTTGGCGCATATGTATATAGGCAACTGTTGCTAACATGTTTGCTATAAGACCTGATAATATATCAGTGTTATGTGTACAGCTTGGTGGGCTTCCCCCAAGTGGCCAAAAACTCTATTAGTGCAGTTTAAAAAAAAAAAAACTTAGCTTGAAAGTGAAAGACAGAAAAAAAATGAACAAAAGACAAAATAACTCTGTTTTGTGTCAGCTTGAATTTGTGCCAAACTTTTTGTCAAGAGAGATGATGCCATACACTCTCATGCGCCCCTAAGCTCAAGGCCTAGATTAGACTAACGCTAAAATAGGACTAAATCTGGTATTAGAAGAAAAAAAAAAGTTGTAGTGTGCATCCATCCCTGGTCGGGAGGGTTTATGCACCTGCCCGACTTCATTTACAGGTGTCGACTGATTCTCTCATTGGACGGTCACAGGGACTGACCAAGTGACCTTAACCTTCCGCACCCCAGTGCCACATACACACACACTCACGCATATCCAAACACACATACACACACACACACACGGTCCTACACCCAGGGAATGGTGGGGCTAGTTCAGACTGGGAAACAAAGACAAGCATTATTCTTCGACATCCCTTACACCAAACTGCTGGGACGGAGGAGAGGGAGGGAGGAGATCTCATAATTTTTCATAATATTTCATCATAATACTTTAAAGTTTTTCCTATTTTTAGTTTCACTGTCTGACAGTTTAATAGAGGCATTATAAGGCTTTCCTTCAAATATAAATCTACAAAAAATGTCATTTTACATTTGCATATTAGAGGCACAGGCGTAATGCATCACTTAATATCCTGGGTAATGTTTGGATCCAGTAGCCTGCCTCAGTGGAGGTAAAAGGGTTTAAAACAATGCATCAATCTCTGGTATGTTTCACTGTCCTGGTCCTGAGTTAGTACAGGGCCAACAAGGAGGTATTCCCATAAAGAAGGAGCCCACACTGTGTTTGCTTTCCTCAGCACAGTGACTGATGAAAGACCAGAAGCCACAGCAAGGAGAAGCACTGGACTCGTGCATACTGTTCCCTCTAAACATCAACACACTAGTTAGACAAATGAGTCTCTCCCCCCCCCTTTACACTGCTCTGCTCCAGAGGCCACAATCCGCCAAATAAGTCTCTGCATTTATGACCAATTATCACCCAAAGTCATACACCTGCCGACTGAGGCTCTTCTGGCAAATTATCCACAGCAGCGATTGATGAAGGACAGGCTGTTATTATTTGGGGAAACAAGTCCTGAATGCTCCTTTTCTGTCAATTCTTTAATGTATTATAAACATATTTTACATTTTCAGTGGCTACTTTTTATTCTTAAGCTTTGTATTGTAACACTACAAACAACATCATGTGTGCTCTGCATGGAAAGGTCAAGTGCTCCAGTTTACCTCACTGATACCCATGCTTGTCTGATATGACAATGTGCCTCAAGCTTTAATGGAACTAACTCCCTCTAGAGGTAATAAAAGGAGATGCTGCTGCTTCTTTGCTTGATGTTTGGGATTTTCTCTCTTCATTCCAAACCATCACCACCACTGAAATTAAATGATTATCCACAGTATCCTATACGTTACCTGGTGATACGTTACCTGGTGATACGTTACCTGGTGCATGAGACAATTACTTTCTAGTACACTGACCCATCTTTGGGTCAATCTCAAATGTCATTATTGAAAATGAACATAAGTCACACTGTTCACTATTCAAACTGATTAATCTATTATAAAAAGACCCATTTCGGGAGTAATTTTAGAAACATATCTGCAAATATATCCTTAAGAAAATGACATTACAATATGGCCACTGTAAAGTCAGTAATATCTGTACTAATCTCACAGTGTCAAGGTGGATGAATTATAACCTCACACAGAATAAGCAACCTGCTACTTCTCTCTTTGAACACACAAAGAAGTCAAAGGAGGAGGAATCTATGGGCACAAAATAACATCTTGATTAATACCTGCTGCCATAATGGAGCTCTTCTTTTTCATTACAGCCCTGATGATATAGTGTGTTTAACCAAATTAAAATATTTTTCAAGGACTTTATTGATTATAATGTTATTTATGGCGTGAAAAAAAAAACCTTCCTCTGTTAGTTTTAGAAATATTTGTTTCACACAGATATCACTATTGTCAGTTTAACTATGGAAAACTAATTTCCATCACTTTTAAAACAGCAGCAGGTGAATCCACCCATATTCCAATCACATCCTCTTCACAATCAGTTCATGTTGAATGATGTGCATTCAAAGCATCACTGGAAGCACAATGACAGACAGGAATCATAGAGAAGCTACAGTACACATTTCTAAACCCTCGCTGAAATAACTTCAGTATGCTCTCTCTCTCTCTCTCTCTCTCTCTCTCTCTCTCTCTCTCTCTCTCTCTCTCTCTCTCTGACGCGGGGGGCTTGCCCTCTAAATAAACTTTGGAGCTCATAGTCGGAGAAAGAGAGACAGAGACACAGCAGTCATCAGCCGGCCGGCAGGAGGGGAGTGAATGGGTCCTGCACGCAAAGCAGAAAAGCGCTGAAACTGCGGAGATTTACTTTGGTTCAGTTGCCTGCCGCCGACAGCGAGAGGAGGTGTGTGTTTGACAGGCTAAAGAACTGCGAAACCTTCAACTTACAGATCGTTACAGAGTTGGTCCCTGTGCTGGCTTTTACTTTTTGTGCTTTAGCTGATGCTGAGATGAAGCCGAGACCCTCAGGGCGCCTGGCACGTTAAGGTATCCACATACACCGGGACGCACGGCGCATCTCCACTTAGAGAGACGAGGAGAGGGGAGAGAGAGGTCAATTTGGAGTTCCACACATGGATATTATATCTCAAACTTTTTGAGAGTCACGGTAGCCATAAATAATAATTCTATTCATCTTTTTGACTTACACTAATGGTCGCACCGGATGAGAGTCGACTTTTTTGGCGTGTTTGTTTGTTTTTTGATTTTTGGAGGGAATGTTCTTCATCACAGCACGGATAACGGATCCCTGACTCAGTCTGGCTTTCTTGGCACATATGAAGATCCTATCCAGGATGTTACAGTCTAAGCGGCCCAGGCATCATTGGGCCACCGTACACTACCATCACCACATATCACCACATAGCTGGGGGTCCTGCTGTGTCTAGGAATTATCTACCCTCCACACTCTGCCTCCGTCTGGGGGAAAAAAAACGGAATCCTATCCAATAAGTGATTAGTGAACATTGACATTGGCTTTACGAGTCTCATCTCTGGGCTACTATGCAATTACAACTGATCTCCTTTGTTTGGATCATCTTGCACTGCATGGATTACACTGGTTGTCAGCAGCACAGCAGCTCCAGGCACCGGCCACATAAACGTGAGTAGGTTAAAGTGCAGTACGATGCTGCTGCCCGGTGTTTGGTGCTCGGTCTTTATATATTTATATTACTTTATGTATATATTATCTATCATTATTATTTTTAATTCAGCATTTCTTCTTCTTTTTTTTTACTCAGACATGCGTCAAGTCACAAAAATCTTCAGCTTCATGTGATTTTTACATATTTCACAATCATCTTCTGCCAAAAAAATAAATAAAAAAACTGAGGATCCAGTATTCAGGCTATTTTAAATCTAATTTAAGTGACTGACAAATTGTTATTTGGTCAGTGAAGTAGGCCTTAAATTAGAAGACAACAATTAAAGCGCTGGGAGTTTTTCTAGATATGACTAAATAAATTGCTCTTTGCTATTGTTTTCTCTCTTCCATTATACAATTTAAATCTACATGAAAACTTGACTTCTGGCAGATATATGATAGTGATTGTTCTGATTTCCCAGATTATAAGACTATTTATTATTAAAGCTAGGCCTAATCCATATAATTAACATATTATCACCAATTTCTTCACTCTCAACCCCACTTTTCTGAACTATGAGGTTCATGCACTCCAAATGTTTAACTTACTAAATTGATGTAGTAAAATGGGGAGGCATTTCGGCATGCTGATTGTATGGTCCCATGATTCCTTAAGTAATTTCCCCATGTGTTTGTCCACTTTTAATATGTCTCCTTTGAACCTTAATTGGATTAATTGACTAATTGTTCTGCCTGTCACCTGAAGCCCGGAGTGGCGGCTCTTTGCACTCAGTCTCCTGGTTCCCGTCGCTCTCTAGCGGCCAGAGCAGCAGACTTCAGGCACGGAGCGCACTGCCCGGGTATCAGGGCTGATCACTGTTATATTCACAGCTTTAGTTCCCATATTTGGTGAAGAAACCTCCGTGTTCAGTTTATTTCCCTACACTGCCACGTTTTGGAATTTATGGGGAAAGGTTTCTTCTGATGTCGGCCCAGATCACACAGAATGGGCTTTTCAATTCAGATTCATCTCGGTATTATAATTTGAAATCATATCCCATCTTGTTCTTATTACTGTTCAAAATCTGACTTCATGTAAATTTGACAGTAGGCTCCATCAAAACACCAGAGATGTTCCACACTGAAAACACTTAAACACTTAAGTCTGATGGTATTTCATCTCCCATATATCTTGTCCCTGGGGTCCAACATTATGTCTCATTGAGTTATGGCCAGTCTTTTTACATAACTCCGTGAAATAAGTATCAATACAGTATATTTTTATATTCTTCCTATGCGCTCTTTATCACTGAAGGTCTCCAGATGTGCTCTGTGACTAAGTCTGTTAGAGAAGTGATAACTGGGATATTCCATGTATCACTTTCCAGTGTGGCCGAAAACTGTCTGATCTACACTAACAGACCTTCGAAGTGATGTTTTTATCCCTGCCACCTGGGGCTGAAACTTCTCTTTCTCTCTCTCCGATCTATAGTCTGGACCCAAAAGTGGACCATTTTTGTTTGTTGTTAATTTTTTCCTCATGACCACCAAAGTGGAAATTTAAAAAAGAAAAAGCAGAGGGTTGGAGCATCCGGGGTTAACGATGTGTTTATTACATAGTTTTAAAGGGGTCCTGGGGTTACCTTTGCTCTTGGCAGCTCTGTTCAATGTAGTTTAGATCAGACCGTAAGAACTAAGCGTGGATCCTTTTGCTGTTCAGCAGGGTGACACAGCCTTCATAGATCTTATTCAAACTGCAGCAAACTGACATATAATGACCCCAGACATTAGTCGTGATGATAAAAGACAACGCAATGTACCTACTGTATGTAATAGGCTGATTATTCCCACTTAAATTTCTTTCTTGTGCAGCACTTATGTGGGATATATACTGTAGATCTTGTAGGTGCTGCTTTGTCCCCAAGACACACAGATTCTCTTTTAAATGTTTATTTCCCCCTAAACACCATTAAAGAGCCTCTCAACACAGTGTGAGAGAGGGAGGGGGCGCAGGGGAATCTACTGAGAGCACTCCAGTTTCTTACTTATTATTTATTACGCCCTGAGAAACTGTGATTTCAGTGAAATTTGAATTTTTAATATTAGTATCATTTTGTTGATGTGATGTGATGCTGAAAATGTGTATGTTGATATGCTATATGAAACCATTATATTATACAGCATATCCACATACGCAACTATATTGCAATTCAGTTTTGGGATGGCAATGTCGAAGCTGAAAGTTTAGTTCATCTTCTACAGTGAGCAGTAAACATCTGCCTTTCTCGACTGGCTCAGTACCCATTAATTGACAAGTGCTTCTAAGAATCCAAACTTCCTCCAAGGATGAAGATATCTAACACTTCCAGAGATATCAGGGAGGATGGAGGGATTAGTTGGTGAAGGGGTGAATGAGTACAGACTTCAGAGAGAGAAGGGGGTAAGAGTGAGTTTGGAGTCAATGACCATTGAGTCAACTGGCCAAAATTACCACACAGAGACTGAGCCACAGCTCAGAGCTTCCTGTCTGTGGTCTGTGATGATGCATCCAAAAATGAAGGCATGTGGCGGCTTTCACCGTGGTAATTATATATATTTTAGAATTTATCAAGAAAAGTCAGCTCAATGAAGATGGGTTGATTCACATCTTGCTTTAAAGCTAAACATGGGATACAGATTATTAAAGTGAAATCAAGTGTGACACATAATGGGACATGTGCAGAGGTAGACATAGATAGGTACTTAAAGCTGCAGTAGGTAATGTTTATAAAATTAACTTTTTGTCATATTTGCTGAAACGTTCAGTGTATCCTGACAGTAGTACATTGCGATGGAGTATTAGGGCCATACTAAGAGAAAATTTTTTTTTTTGGAAAATTACGAGAATAAAGTCATAATATTAGGTCTATGAGAATAAAGTCGTAACATTACGAGAATAAAGTCGTAACATTACGGGAATAAAGTAGTAATTTTATGAGAACTGTCAGCCTGTTGGCTCAGCCAGCAAAACTGTTTAATGACAAAATTATCAATACGTTAGCCTACCTGTTGACTGTACGGTACGACTGATACAAACAGCGGCTGCTGGGCTCAGGCTGAGGCTGCTGTTTGGTTGAGCTGGTCACGTCAGATCTTGATGACGCTATCGAAGCTTTTTTCTCATTAAAACAATGACATTATTCTTGTATTATTACGACTTTATTCTCATAACATTACAACTTTATTCTCGTAATATTATGCCTTTATTCTCGTAACATTACGACTTTATTCTCGTAATATTATGACTTCTCGTAATTTCCAAAAAAATAAAAAATACATTTTCTTAGTCTGGCCCTAATACTCCGTTGTATACATGAGACACATAATCTGTGAAAATCCGGTTCCTCTGGCTCCTCCTACTGCTCCTAATGGTATTTACTAGAATCCACCACACCTGGATAAAACCAACCAATCAGAGCCAAGAATGATAGAGCGATGCTTTGGGTTGGTGGCTGGTTTCATTCTCAGCATCGGTATTTGATGACCTGGGAATGCGGCTTAACAATCAATCAGTCGTTCTTGGTTCTGATTGGTTGTTTTCATTCAAACACAGCAGATTCTTGCAAATGCCATTAGCACCAGGAGGAGCCAAAGGAACCTGATTTTTGTCACCGATTATCTGTCTCGTGTGCTATTGTCAGGCCACAGTGATATGATAAAATGTTATTTTTATAAAAGCTACCTACTGCAGCTTTAAGGCAAAACATTACGTCTGTGTTGTTTCTCCGTGAACCATCTGTGTTTGTGTGCAGGCATGTGAATGTGTTTATTCATATGTGACTTTGTTGGTATGTTATGCAAGATACCACTGTCCAACTGAGGTTTTGTCGGTGCAAGTGCGAGGGCAAGGCCAGATTCCTGCGTCTTAAGACTTCTGTGAAACAGGGCAGCTTGGCAGGAACACATGTGGGCAAATGGACAGCAGTTGTAAAGATTGTCGAGATATTTCAAACAAAGCATCCTTGATCTGTGGCAAACTGGCAGCTAAACCCTGAAGTTAGAGAAGAAGGAAGAGGGCCAGCTTAAACCAGTGGCATGAGATCTCAAGGCTGGAGAGGAAAAACAATTGCTTTGGTGTTTACAGGGGTTGCTTTCAATTTGCCTACCATGTGTGACTACTGCAACATTATCCAACCATTGCCTTGGGATGAAGTATCAATGCAGTATGGGTGCACAAGTGTGTAAAACATGGAACTTCTCTCATGTTTATGGCCTACGTATTGACTCTGTGTTACTGATGTCACTCCTGCTTGGATAAGCAGACAAATTCCCAAAAGAGTGGTACCACTTTCTTGATTTAACTAAAGCAACATATTTGTAACAGAGGAGTGAGTTAATTTCCTTATAAAAATGTTTTACTGTTACTGAAATGTTGGGACCAGAAGCTAAAAATATCCTCTCTGAACTATGCAACACCATGGTGTATCTGGTGGTTTTCTTTCACAGCATATACAGTACACATCCTCACACAACCACCCAAACCATCTTTGTTACTATTTGTCCACGAAGTGCAATCAGATACTGAACAGGATGATTATTTTCGAGGAAACTGACAGCAATAAAGTTCTTTAAGACTTGAAGACGGGAATGGTTATAATTTTGTTGGGTTTTTTGGTATTTCCACAATATGCTACTAGCACTGCATATACCTGTATACCATACTTCATCATGAGCTTAAACACACTATCATTTTGAAATACACATGCTGTAATTTGGGAGACATTAAAATGACTGTGACAAGGCTGTCACCATACAATTAAAATGATTCAAACCTACAACCACAGCTTTTATCCATTGCAGACAAAGTCTGGTGAATCATCCCACAAATTAGTGAAGAGCGGGGGATGATAAAAAACAGTAAAATATATCAATATAAACTAAACACTACAGTACTTATGAACATGAACTGGGTTGTAAACATAGTATAAATAGCTGTCATGTGCACTGTGCTATCAATCACTGTGCTGAGAGAGTAGGTGATTAGTCATACTGTAATTAAACACTTATGCATGTGGAATAATAATCCTTCATGTTACAGTAGATCTTCCTGTTTCTCCTTTGCCCTCATTCTTGAAAAACATGACACAACAACACTTGATTGAATATTTCAATACAGAAAATAATAAACTTTTTTTCAATTTGTAGCAAATGTGAAGAAATAAATGCAGTTTCAGATTGTTTCCTTGCTTGAAAAGAATTGTGGGCACCTATGACAGTCCCATCGGCCTTTTGTTTTCTTGTCTTCTGTTACTGAAACTGGTTATGCAACATAAACCTACAGAATGGTTTACCACCTGGCAGAGTGACAGGCGAGATGCAACCTACACTAACGTCATAATGTAACATTGTTGGTCCACCATGAAACATGAAAGAATTCTTTAAAAATCCAGCATTGCATCAAGAGCTAGGTGCTACCTTTGAAATACTGATGCTGGTATTTTAGAGGACAGGGACGGTCTGACCTGACATCTTCACTGAAAATGCATTGTTTAAAACATATACACCCTCATAAAGTCCACAGTCTGGGTTGAATTTTCTACCTTACATTATCTATTTTACCTGTCTTGTTTCTGTCTTGTGTAGGGCCCTATAACAACAATCGTTTACAAAAAATAAAATATTCCATTATACTGCACAAATGATAGTCACATTATATGGTACACATAGGCAACTTTTAGATTAGGTTTTTATTTATGGTGTCTTATTGTCTATGATTTAAAATGGACTTCTTGGGACTGTATTTGCGCCCCTGGCTGAAAGAAAATATGAGGACACTGAATATTTATTTGAAATGGTTTAGTGCTATATTAGTTACACTTTTACCAAAAGGCTGCCAGAAGGTTACTGTGTTCATCTTTGGCACCAACAGAGAGGTGAATTCCTGCCTCCTGGGAGGCTGGTATGTCTACAAATACTTCCAAAGTGTCCGGCACTGTACTGGGGCACTTATCAAATGTTGTGATCTCAAGTTATCCATTAAGATAAATTCCACTTGTAATCTTGAGATTTTAGTTTTCCTATTATACCACATGAAATCCATGCTTAAACATCCCCCTGTTCCTGTCAACAGAGATCTCTGGTGTGAGCTCAGGGTGCCAGCAGGGTGGCTGTCTGACCTGCTCTGACTACAATGGCTGCCTGTCCTGCAAGCCGCGCTTGTTCATGCATTTGGAGAGGATTGGGATGAAGCAGATCGGGGTTTGCATGACTTCCTGTCCTCTGGGCTTTTATGGCACACGCTCCCCAGAAAGAAACATCTGCACAAGTAAGGCATAACAACATAAACTGTATGGTATGGTTGTATGGAAGAATGATAACAGAATATTGATGAAAATATCCCTTGCATTGCATGTTCCCAATTAAAATGAACAGAAATCTAAAGGATTGGTAGTAGCCAGACTTCTGTGTAATTATTTGTCCTCTGAATGGATGGGCATAAGATTAAGTATACAGTATCCCTCTCTTATAACAAACACACACACAGAAAAATATCTCAGACTTGTCTTGAGTTAAATGTGGCCTCTTAACAGTGTGTTTATACGTGACAAGCATAAGCACAAGAAGTATAATCAGGTCCAAGTCAAAATATATGTCCTCCCTCCATATACACTTCTTTACAAGCAACAGTTTCAAGACCTGCTTGTGAAATATAGCATTATGTATACATGCAGTATGTCCTCCAATAACTCCAAAACCTGATACCTGTTAAGTAGGTTTCCTTTTGGTGACATTAAATTAAATCAAGTGTTGCTTTACTTAAAATCATATATCATAAGTCACCCTGTAAGACATCAATCTGACTGCAGTGGCCTATATTCCTGACTGTATTCCCAGTTGGGCATGCACACACACACTGACACCCTGTATATTTAACAGGCAGGATACACTCGATAACTTGTATGGTTTAAATAAACGCTGGCGGTGGGTCTGTGTTTCTCTGTCAGAGTGCAGGTCGGAGTGTGACTCGTGCTTCAACAAGAACTTTTGCACACGCTGCCGAGCAGGATTCTACCTTCACCTGGGCAAGTGCCAGGAGAACTGCCCTGAAGGACTGGTCCACAGCGACACACAGAGGGAGTGTGTTCTCAGTGAGTAACTCTATTTACCTTGTATTATTCCACATTAGCCATGCAGAGTTTACCAAATAATTCTGACTTTGGAATGAAGTTGTCATGTGTTAAATGGGGTCACTATATTCACAGATACATAACTTTTGTCTTTGCAGAGTGCCCTGCAGAGTGTGAGTCGTGTGAGAACAGTGAGACATGTACGCGGTGCCGGCCAGGCCTGTACCAACTCAGTGGGAGATGCCACGAAGTCTGTCCAGAGGACTACGAGCCCAGTGACAACCTCATGGAGTGCACAGAAAAAGGTCAGTCCAGTGTGTGTGGATGTGTCATAAAAAAAAGCCTAAGACAGCCTAAGATAGCTACCTATCCTGTTAGTTGGGGTCCATGCAACATGTGGGCCCTTGATGTAGAGAAAAGAGAGTAACCACATTTTTAACGTGTTAACATAAAATGACTTAACACTGAGGTTTCTCATCTTCACTTCTCTATTCTCAATTTTTCCCCTGTCAGTGCACTGCATAGTGGGTGAGTGGAGTGAGTGGAGCCCATGCCCTCGGCCTGCTAGAAACTGTGGGTTCAAGCGGGGCCAGGAGACCCGCACACGACAGATTCTCCAGCAACCCTCAACCCATGGCAACCCCTGCCCAGATATCTCAGAGATCAAAAAGTGCCCGGTCAAGCGGAAGAAATGTCAAGGTAAAGAAAACAATACCGTAGCAAAGTTGCAGAGTGATTGTGTTCCAGCTATGTGTCAAACCCTGACACCAGATCCTTGTGATCCAGCATTTGAGCTTAAACTACCAAAAAAATGGCACACAGAATGTGCCCACAAAAATGGGCACAATCTAGACGTTGTCTATAGTAGTTGCTGTTGACAGACACTCACTGCCAGCATTGGATTTGTGACACATGGCACGATTTCTACTCTCTATGAATTCCAGACCTTGCTGCTTCAGCTTGTACAATCAGAGCTAGACGTTCTTCCGCTCAGGACTACGACTGTTTACTCAGAGGATTGTCATTGTGGTTAGAGTGAGGACAGTGGTGGGAACACACATGTGTGATGTTGCAATGGGTATGTTGTGTGTTTCCCATGAGACCTCTTTGGATTTTTAAACAGTAAAACCGCTTTCTCTGCTCCTAGTAAACAGGGAATAGCGTGATCATTTCTAATGAAGAGAGTGAAAACTGCTTTCAGACGGGGCTCGTCTCTTTACAAAACACAATGTTGTGGTGCATTTATGACCGCTTCGTGTTGTGTGTGTACTGCATGTGTGTGGTTACTGAGCTGGTTGGCAGCTACGGCTGGTTGTTTTTTACCCTGGGCTCTGCAGTGTTAAATGACAGATCGCAGACAGGGTAGGAGGCTGAGATCCAGCTCCCTGGGGCCTCACACTTACAGAACAAACAGTGTGTGTATGTGCGAGTTTCTGTGCATGTGTGTGTGTGTGATGCAGCAGAAAAGCAGTTGACTCTGGAGCAGAAACAGCCAGCTCAACATCAACATCCTCCCCCTGGGAGGCACGCGGCGACCAGGGGATCAGTATTGGTTTATCCCCACAGCTGCCAATACACACACATACATGCAAACCAACACATGCACACACCTTCTCCATTTCAAACAAGTCAGACAAATGCACACTTGGGCACACCGAACACACGCACGTGCACGTAGATACACACACATGCTGTCTTTGTCTCACTAAAATAACTGCACAGACGTTGCTCTTGGTGGTAATTTGTGAAGAGAGTCAACTGGGTCGACGTGATTTGTAAGGCAGACTGTGAAATATGCCCTCTGTCAACCCCTCTCTCTCTGTCTCTCACTTTCTATCTGTATCTCTCTACTGATCCATTCCCCCATCCTCATCCCCTCCACACACACTCCCTACCACACCAAAGAAAACATAGACCCCCATATAAGCTCCCTGTTGGCGCTCCCAGTCAGTCGTGCCGGGGCCGAGACTTTAGTGTGGAGTCAACGGCTCTGTTGATCTAGCCTGAGCCTGGTGAGAGGGGGGGGACAGGGAGAAGGGAGGTGAATTAAAAGAAAGAAAGAAAGAAAGAAAGAAATTAAGAAAGAAAGCTGTGTGTGTAGTCTCAAACACTACAGTCCCCATCTATTGACATTGCCCCTGCTTGCAATTATCCAGTTGCCCCAGCTCTGAGAGCATCTGTGGTGAATGAGAGCTAATTATCTGCTTCGGCGCGTCCTCTCCTCGCTGTTTACGTTCTGCACACGCTAGGGGGTCAGTGGTCCGACCTCAGAGAGCCCCCGGTAATCCTCCAGCAGCCCTCAGACACTGATACATCCTCCTCCTCCTCATTTTCCTTTCCTCCTCTTCTGCACTTTCTCCTTTTGCCTTCTCCTCCCCCTTTTCCCTGCCTCTCCTCCTCCCGTTTTGTCCTTGCTACATCGATTTTACTCCTCCGCATGAGATTTTGCTCATTTCATCCTCTTCAACTATCACTATTACTTACACGTAATCAACTTTAACTTTCTTCAACCCAAAACCCTTCTAAAATGTAGTCAGATCAGTTTCTGCTCTTTGCATTGGAAGCTCATTTGGAGGGATCTCTTAATTTTCAATATGAACATGTGGAATGATTACGGCAAGAAAAACCTGTTTCAGTGTTCACATGGGCGCGCAAATATCTTTTAAGACAGACTTGAAAAATTGAAAACCTGTCCTTTAAGACTGTTCATACTTTCATACTTTTTAAAATCTACATGTTCATCCTTGTTCAATGTGTAACTTTTGTTAAAGCATAAATGATTAAATCCATTTCTTAGCATTCAATTATGTTCCTTCCTAGGTTAAAAACAATTTCAAGTTCCTCCAGCTAAAACTAATGTCACTTTTGATTCAGATTTGTCTTGACATTTTGGCAAATAAAACTTACTGTCAAGTGTCAGATGAGAAGATCAATATCACTCCTATGTTTGTCAGTTGAGCCAGCAGATGATGAGTTTAGCTTAGCATCAAGAATTTTAAATAGGGGGAAACTAGTGCTAGTCTGTCCAAATGTTTTTAAATTCACCTACTAGCACCTTTAAAGCTCTCTAATTAACACATAATCCCTACAAACATAAAGGGGCAAGTTGTTTTATCTCTAACTTTGTTGGCACTGCTCAAGGTCTTCTATTAGAGTGGTCTCAATGGAAAGCACATTTCCCAAAAGGTCAAGCTATTCCTATAATTGTAGACTTTAGCCTCCAGCTGGTTCAGCCCCCAGTTCTACAGAACCACTGCAAAATCACAACTATCAGTTGGTCTTGACCACTAAACAAGGTTTTAAATTACAGATATCACATCAGAAAAGTTGTAAAACTGTAGGAAACATGTTGATATATTCAGCCTTTGAGTCAGAAAAACTTGGCTCTGTTCCTCTGTTATCCTCAGCTAGAGATTGTGTATGTTTACACACACATCCTCATCTGCTGCTGTCTCTCTAAGGTTAGTGCTGGCTAATTTGTCCTTCGATGGACCTACTGTTCATCTCTCTATCTCTGTAGTCGGATAGACCACATGCCCTTTCATTCCCACACACACACACACACACACACACACACACACACACACAGACCTATTACACATAAAGAAACATACAGTTAAGCAAGCTAGCATCAACCATTCAGTGAGGGTGGATTGGTACACACACATACACTGACACACCCAGAGCCCCCCTCATGACATCCTGGCGGCCATGCGGCAGGCATTCCACTTGTGGGACAGCCCATAGCCTTTAATCCCAGCCTGGCTCCCGCCAAAAGCTCCCCGGACGACAGAACGCCTGCCACAGAGGATGTGCCACCATAAAACACACAGTGCTCCTCCAACCGCGCACACACACCTCCCCTTACCCTCAGTGGCCCTCTGCTCTCTCATGTGTCTATTTCCTACTCTCACCTTGTTCTTTAGTACATTAAATGCTCTCTTTGGGTTGTTATTCATCACCTATACTGCTTCCCTTTATCTCTTCATGTCTCTTTCACTAGCATGCTCACTCATTGTGCCAGCACACACACAACATACAGTGTCCCACTCTGTGTCCCTCTCTGTGCTCTCATTACAGTTTACTGACTCTGTCCTGTTAATGCGCTGCAACAGATTTCTAGCAGTTACACTACAACCACAGTTCAGCAGGTCAACAGTTGTGGCTGTCTTTCCACTGAGCAGGAATCACACAGGATGAAGAGGATAACACAGTTCTGCATACATTCTCCCTCATTAACTAGAGATTATAACAAATAGTCTCAACTTGTACTGATGACAAGTACTTGTCATCTGTGTGCTGACTGTGGCACCGATTGTATGATGAATCTAAAATAAGGTACAGTGTAGGCGGTGGTTGGATTACTGTCATTTGAAATCAATGTCAATATTCATTTTGTATTGGTCATAAGACATATTTTACAGTCCTAGTGCAAATGACAAAATCTTAAGTGGAGTATGTAGTGTTTTGTGTATATACACATGAGGACAGGTTAAAGAGTGACCACAGATATTTATATTCGCTCTCTTATATAACACCATTATCAGTGTCTTTGTGTTCTTTTGGACTTACTTTTATGAGCTATGGCTAGACAACAAATAGACAGTGCTCAAGGGTTATATAATTGCTTCAGTTGCTTCATAGCGTTGGGAGTTACACCAAGTGAAACTACATTAAAGGAATAGTTTGACATGTTTATTTTCTATTTTAGTGAGAATTGGATGAAAAAAATTGACGCTAGTTCCAGGAGACTGTTTATCTTAGCATACATCAGCTAGCCTCTGTCTAGGGTTTAATGATCTGCCTACCAGCATTTCTAAAGCTCACTAACACATTGTATCTTGGTTGTTTAATCCAAACACAGAAATGTGAAAGTTGTGGCTTTACAGAGAGTTATTAGCTGTAACTATTTCCAGACAACCAGTGGAGACATCAGGAAGTCACTGCACCCAGCTGCTGATGGCCAAGAAATACACCATTAACTGTGTGTTAGTAGGTGGATTATTACACTTTGGACACAGGCAGGCTACCAGTTTCCCCCTGCTTTCACTCTTTATGCTTAGCTAAGCTAATTGCATCCTGGTTTCAGCTGAACAGACAGATATAAGAATGTATTAATCTTCTTATTTAACTCTTGTCAAGAAAGCAAATATTATGTTCTAAAAAGTCAAATTATTCCTCTAAGGGTTGTTGCATTATGCATTTAGAATAATTCAATGTGTACCAATAGGATGCCCATACAACATCAATGTAATAGTCCAAACACAATAATTTCACTTGAAAAATGGTATTTACTTTTACTTTTACAGTGAGTGTGAATTTCAATAACACAGCATGACTGCATTTCTTCAATACTCAGACCTACAATGACCCTACATCCCACTCTGTGTACAGACTGTACAAATATAATGTCCTAATATGGCTAGGAATGATTCATGTATCTGCCATTAGTGTAATTTAATATGAAGTAATAGTTTAAATCATTTGTCTATGCAAAAATAAGTGTACAAAGTTTTACAATTGCTGAGCAATCCTGTATGTTCAATTTTGGATACATTTCAGTTGAAGACACGTGGATTCCCCAAAAACACTCACAACAACATTACCAGCTGAAAGAAAAATGTATTCAGTATAAGATTGTGAAGTGCTTTTGCATCTTTACAGCATATTGTACAAGTCTCAGCTGAAACAGGACTAATTGATGATGTTGATGCTGCTTTCTTAAGAGCAGAACTTTTAATTAAGGCAAAAACTATATCACTGCAGGTACACATGAAAATCTCCCAGTAATTTTATGAACTGGAACCAGAGTTCATAAAATTACTAGGAGATTTTCATGTGTTGTTCCCAAGTCAACCACTCATTCACTGCCAGACCCAAACTCTTGATGACATTATTCATTAAAACTTGGCTTTTGGGAATGCGCTAACTGTCTGTTGAAAATGTTCCAAAACCTCCAAAGGTGTCTCATTTGGGGACCATTACACACATGTCAACACACAGTTTACAAAAAGTCCATCAGAAACTGTTCCAAACTAACCAAACACAGGTTGGTTTGATAAACACTCTCCTAATCATCTCAACACTGGCATGGATTAGGTTTCTCCTCTGGCTCGACAAAAGCACGGGGGCTACAGTATGACTAATCCACTGAACTTGTAAATAGTTGTAAATGGTGTCAGGACAGAGAAAACAATGAGAGCGAAGGGGACTTCCTGTGTTTATAGAGGATGGGGGGCAGACCCCGAATGAGTCAATGCACCAGATTACTCCATCTGTCCATCCATCCATGCAGCCACCTATCTTAACCATCTTTGATAGTTAAATTCCTTTTCCCTTTCTTGCAATTAAACTATGTGAACACTGTGCTACCCCATACTGTGTTTGTGCACATGCTCACATATGCACTCACGTCCATCTCTTGTCCTCTTATCCTGCCCTTATTTCTAGAGGTAGATTAAACACAGTCGGCAGGTAGAACTTGGTATCACTTGCCAAGAATGTGTGGTTCAGATATGGCCCATGGTCCAATCAGAGCCCGGGGATTGATTAATGAATAGACAGAGAGGGAGAGGATGAGCATATGGGGGCCGAACATGAAGCAGACAGGAGAGAGACTCTTTCTCTCTTGCGCTTTATCTCTCTTTCTCTCTCTCCCTGTGTCTGTGCCTACTGCCTACTTCAGCAGTTTCACAATCCCCGACTGGCCGGCCAACCAGCCAAGCAGGCCGTGCTGCTCTGTTCCACTCACACATGAACAGCAGCAGAACAACAACAGGAAAAGGGCCTCCTCTGCTTTCACTTGCAGGTCCTGTCTCCAACCTCCCTGGGGGTGGATCTTGTTATTATCATTAATAACTGTAGCTCGAGCTGAGATAAACCTTCTGCATTCCAAAACTCTTGGTTTTGTTTATGAGATGGTGTTGCAAGAAAAGATAAATTGGGGGTTTATTTAAAGGTTTTCTATTTTGGACAATGGTCTGCTCATCACGGGGAGAGGCCTCCAGTCTGTGGTTAAAGACTACCATCTAGTGGTAAATACAGAGCATTACGAAACCCAGTGTTGCACCATGCCATGTATTTGTAGTGTGTTCACTCTCCCTCAAAAAGTCTTGCTACTTTCACATATTTTTAATATATTCTGGTTTTCATTAATTACAGGTTGACATGTGGGTTAGTTGATATGAGTCCTGTAAATCTCAAATCATACCAGACTGAATTATGAAGCATTTTGGACATTTTCTGCCGCTGTATTAATTGCATCATATCAATTAAAATCTTATTTTTAACATTCTTTATTTAAAACACTCTGAAATGATGCAAAGTAAAACATTTCACAACTGAACACTACTTCCTGAAATTGATGGGGAGAATATTGAGAACTTCATCCTCTCTACTTCACTAATCTTTATCATTTTTCTTAACTTCCAGGAGGACGGAGAAGGAATGAGCGAAGAGAACGGAGGAATCGCAACAACCGCAAAGATAAGGAGAACCAAGAGGGGCGACGGGAGAGGAAGAGAGAGAGGGAGAGGGAGAGAGACACAGGTGAACGTGAAGACTCTGATAACAGGAACAAAACGGAGCACAGGCATCGCAGAGGCCATGAAACAGAACCAGTTTCCCCTGAAGTCGGCCTTGTGCAGTAGTGCTCTGGAAAGACAAAGTCTAGCGCCTCCCTATCCTCCTCCTGATATCATCCCATTCTTCCTTCTCCAAAACGCCGCCACCCGCACCCACTGTTCACCCCCCTCGACCCCTCTCTGCAGGGGTGTTGCTGCTACCTGTATGATTTGAATATAATGTTTATGCACAAGCGGGATGGGGCACATTCAGCCACAAGGCTTGGGCCACTATGGACTTTAAAAAGGTTTTTTTTTTGGTACCCTGTAGGCTCTACTCCTTCATTTCCACCACTGAGAGTGTCTCTATTGAAAAGTGCAGGAGACACTTCTGAGACTGCTGTTGGGACCGAAGAACAAAGTGAGAATTTGTCTGACTGTGTGGAGGACTGGCAGGCAGACGGACAGAGAGACAAAGACGTTATACTATGTGCTTGTTGATATGGTTATTTAATGGGGCCCTGGTACAACATTGCGCGTCTTGGTTTTTGAATGTAGATTTTGCAACATTATGTAGAACAATTGTTTATTATTGTTGTTCCCGTTCTTTAGATCTCTTTACTTTATTTTATTTGGTGCAGAATTTGTAAAGAAAAAGTAAAAGTGAGTTTGCTATTGCCATCTTGTGACATCTTCATAATCACTGCAAATGACAGCTGTAGGAGAGCCTGCATGCTGTGAATCAAAGGAGTACTGAGGAGAACTGAAAACCATTAACACGTTTTGTATGTCTTGGACAAAAGCTAGTTTTATCCAGATACGTGATCAATCTTATCTACTATTGGTTTTTCTTTTTGTGTAAATGGAATCTGTGCTCTCAGTAAAGCTCCTTGACTAGGAACCAAAAGCACCTGTATGTCAAATAAAACTATAATGGGTTTGTACCTGTGTCTGTTATCTGTTTTCTCATCAGAATGCCATCTTGTGCAATTCATCTGAGCAAGTTATAAATGAAACTCAGTGCGGGGTGCAGCTATCAATTGATGATTCACAGGTCGCCATGGGCTGCTTTGAGTGTAAACTGTAGCAGTAGTACGGCGTCACTGTTAGATCTGAATACCTGTTGTAGATACTTTCATCCATCTCTTGTGTCACAACAAATATTCTTTGGCAACTGAGAAACACCTACAGAGCTAACAATAAGTAATAGCAATGTTATGTCCCAGGCAGCAATGAAGCCTCACTTTTTTTTCCCCAATATCCCTACTTTCACTTGTTCCTCAGCATATATTGTAAATCATCAGCCCAGTAGTTTAGAGTAATTAAGCTATCTGCAATCCTTATTCTTTGAACCCCTTCCATTTTTCTGCAAATAAACTATGACAACTAGCATCATGTAGCTCAAATTTCCAAATGAATATACAATCAATTTGAATCACCTAATATTAGGTTGTATGCATTTGAACCACCCGTATTTATTTCAGTGCTTATGAAGTTTGTCAGGGAGCCAGATTTGACACACAAGCACATTCACTTTGATCTGGATTAACTAGTTTCATGAGAAGTCAGTTTCAGACAAGCACCGTAAAGCCAAATCATTTTTATATCACAAAACCAAGAAATAATGAATCATTTTTTAAAGCTAAACCATTTATTGGTGGAGTATTTTTGCTCATCAGTAACATTTACTTGCATCAACAGGCATGATGACAGTATTTCCCCCTCATTCATTCAGCAGAGAAAATTCAACTAATACAGACTGTACATGAAAATATATGAGATTTTGTTTCAATTTGACATTTGCAAAATAGATAACTCACAGTACACTGTATGTACAGAAATCATAAGTGCAAGATAAAGCCATGTTTGAGAAGGTCAGGGAAATGTTACATAGGTAAGAGGACCATGGTTAAAACCAGGATTTTTCAATCAAGAGGACCCTACTGCTTAAACAAAAACAAAAGAGGAAACACTGTGACAGATCTTGAGATTTACCCAGATGCCTTTTAAGTTAAGACGGAACAAATAATCAAATCACAGGTTTTTGTTTTCAACTAACTTAATACCTCCTGTTCACTTCATTTTAGCCACAAATTCCTCGCCCTTCTTGATAGAGGCCTTCAGCTCATCAATGGCATCAACCACCAATTTCTCCTCAAAGGCAGACAGCATGCCCACCCCAAGGTTCTTCTCAATGCCATTCTTCCCCAGAAGAAGAGGTGTGGAGAAGTACTTGCACTCTGTCTCCTCAGACCTGACATAGGCGCACTCCACCACACCCTCCTTTCCATTCATGGCGTCCAGGACGGAGAAGGTAAAGCGGGCACCAGCATAGGCCATGGAGAGGGTAGCAGATCCAGCTCCAGCCTTGGCCTTCACCACCTCTGTGCCAGCCTCCTGGATCCTGCCAGTCAGAGCACTCAGCTGGTCAGCAGGGAACTCTACTTTAGGAGTGCACTGGGAAATGAGGGGGATGATGGTCTTCCCAGCATGACCTCCAATCACAGGTACATTGACACGAGCTGGGTCAAGGCCTTTGAGCTCTGCAACGAAGGCGTTTGCTCTGACAATGTCCAGGGTTGTGACACCAAACACTCTGTTGGGGTTGTACACTCCATGCTTCTTCATGACCTCTGCTGTAATGGGGATGGTGGAGTTAACAGGGTTGGCGATGATGCAGATCATAGCCTCGGGGCAGTTGCGTGCACAGGCATCGGCCAAGGTGGCTACAATGGTGGCGTTGGTGTTGAAGAGGTCATCACGAGTCATGCCTGGTTTTCTGGGGACACCGGCGGGGATGACCACGACCTCGCAGCCCTGCAGTGCAGCATCGAGCTGGTCGGGACCCATGTGGCCGGTCACTTGGGCCCTTGTCTCGATGTGGCTGAGGTCTGCAGCCACCCCAGGTGTGTGGGCAATATCAAACAAGGAGAGGTGACTCACCAGGGGGCTATTCTTCAGAAGCAGTGATAGCGGCTGGCCTATGCCGCCTGAAGCTCCTAGCACCGCAACCTTGGCGTTGTTGTGCGTAGAAGTGGACAGGCTCCGAGCGAGGCTAACGGTAGGTCTCACGGCACGGGAAAACATTTTGTTTCTTTGACTTCTTTTATTAATTTAGTGAAAGTAGAAATATCTAAAGAGCCCCTCTCCTCTGTGACACCAACGTCCTCTAGCCACGAGCAAACAGGAAGACTGTAAACTGTCATGCGTAGAGGATATGGGCGTGCGATATTACGTCAAATTACGTCAAATTGCGTCAGCGCGTACGGCTACGTCGTCGTCTTTATTTTCAGCCTCTTTTCTACGGAGGAAAACAAAGCCAGTTAACACTGGAAGTGGGAATATTAGCATTGGAAAGCAGTGCTGTTACGCGAATTATAACGGTACACCAGAGCAACACAGCAAAATCTAACGGTACGGTACGTACGCAGTCGTTGAATTGTCTCTGTCGTGAGGAAATGTTTCACCTCGCTGTTTATGTCGCCCTGCTACAATGAGCTAGCGCCGTCAGATGAACTCCGTCTAGTTGCTGGAGTCAGAGTGCTGCCATCAGACTAGCCAGCGTTAGCTAACATTACAACAGGTCTTATTGTTGTGGTCGCTCTGCCAGTCGCGGAATCTCTTTGTACTGTTTGACTTGTGTTTGCACTTGTAACGCTAACAACAAACGACTTGCTTTTTAGTAGCTGCTATGTTTCTAATGTTAGCTCAACTAGTTTGCTTATAAACTGTCCCCTGTTAGTGTGAATATTAAGAGCGTTAGCTCGGTAATGTTAGCTGTGTTCATCCCTGTCATAAGGCCAGCTCGGTAACACAAACTTGTAACAACTAGCTGACACAGTTCACTGTTTGTAGTCGGACAGTTAACAGAGCAGCCTTTTGTTTCACACACTTGAGTAAACCCTTAAATTACATTTCTGTCATAGCTAAGTGAATTAACGCTAACTTGCAGCTAATCCGTTTTAACGTCAGGCTAAAAATCCAACTTGTTTCTCACATAAATGGTTTGTTTTTGTTTTTTTAAATACGTACCATTGTGTATCACAATTGTACTCACTTTCAGGACAGTCTGAAAACTAATACATTCACTGACTGCTCTTTTTTCTTTGGCAGTGGCAAGATTGAAGGTCCATCAGCTCTCCTCATGGTACATCAGCATTAAGGATACTTCCAGTAAGTATCAAATATCCTCTCTGTCAGCCTTTGTGAGGTTACAGGTGGCATATAGATTATACTATCATTCGATATTGGTAATTTTTAGTCTGACTTTATCTTGGGACTCTTTGCTGTTTAGTGACAGTGACTTGCATTTGAGTGCTAAATGTGACCATGACACCACCAGTAAGATAAAAAAAACTTTCCTTCTCAGTGTCCCACAGTTGTCCTGATCTCTACTTTCAACTGTCCCAGACTTAACAGCTACTGTCTGAAATAGATTTTGTTTTGTTCATTTAATAACTTAATATAATATAATATAATAACTTTGTTTCAGTAACTCGCATCACTTCATTGAGTCTTTGAACATTGTTATTATTAAGAGAAATAATCACAGACTCACTACAGAGACATTGTGTATTTGAAGTAAAAAAAGTTTTACAAAAAAAATCTAACTATTGAAATAGTTACAAGCTCAAACTATTACATAATAGCTATATAAACTTACTTCAGAGATCAAGGGAGAGAGTGGTCACATATGGCCAATGCTCCACACCTACGAATGAATTACAATATAATATACATCTTTTTGTTATTATATACTTGTATTTTCTGACTTCAAACAACAAACATAATATTTTCATTTGTAATCATACATTTCTCTACTGTTGCAGAAATGTCCCAGACAATGTCTCTTTGTGTCCTAGGTGCTATTTTTATTGCCCCTGGGACAGCGGGACATCCTTAATTTTAAGTGCTGTATATATCTCACTTGTTTTTTCTATCATATGTGGACCTAAAAACAACATTCATAATTAGAATAATCTTGAATAGTGATTTCTGTTTTTGAAAATGAATTGTACTGATGAAAGAAAAGGTAATGATCCTACCATGCTCACTACAACCTTTATTTACAATTGTCCCTTTTCCTCAGTACTTCCTAAGGATGGCTAGTTGTGGGGAGGTAGACCACTCTGTTAGCTCACTTCCATCCAGTAAGAAAGGCAGCAACAGTGGTGGTGGAAGTGGGAACAGTGCAGAATCATCATGCTCTGGCTCCAGCAACTCATCCCCAGCCCTGTCTGTACCAGAGTGTGCCATCTGTCTGCAAAGCTGTGTCCACCCAGTGCAACTGCCGTGCCATCACGTCTTCTGTTTCCTGTGTGTGAAGGGAGCATCCTGGCAGAGCAAACGCTGTGCTCTCTGCAGACAGGAAGTACCAGATGACTTCCTGGAAAGGCCTACGCTTCTCTCTCCCGAGGAGCTTAAAGCATCAGCGGGAGGTCGGGGTGGGGCAGCAAGTGATCACGCCTGGTATTATGAGGGCCGTAATGGTTGGTGGCAGTATGATGAGCGAACCAGCCGTGAGCTGGAGGACGCTTTCTCCAAGGGCAAAAATAGAGCTGAAATGCTGATTGCTGGTTTTTTGTATGTAGCTGACTTGGAGAACATGGTGCAGTACAGGCGCAATGAGCACGGTCGTAGACGCAAGATGAAGAGGGACGTTTTGGATATCCCCAAGAAGGGAGTGGCTGGACTGCGTTTGGACGCTGAGGGTGTTACTGGGGCCATTGGGACAGGTAGAGAAAACTCTGCTGATGGGGCTGATACCACGGTAGCAGGTGTCCAGCAGCCGGTTACAGGTATCCCCTCTACTGTCACAGCCCCTCCAGCCACTGCCAGACCTCCTACCTCCCTTGGTGGTCAGCCTGGTAGCAGCAGCGGGAGCCCCACTCTGGAGGATGCTCTATCCCAGCTGCAGATCAGCCCCAGGCCCACACCCTCCCACGAGCGCTCTGAGGCTGGGGAAGGAGAAGAAGAAGAAGAGGAAGAGGAGGCCTCACCCTCCAGGTCCTCTGACCCTAACACCTCTGTGGACGAGTCTGGCTCCGGAGACTGGAGCGATGAGGAAGGGGGAGATGGAGAGCGTGTGGAACCCTGTGAGGGTAGGCAAAGACGGAATCCAGAGGACAGAGCCCCTCCTGGCGCAGAGTCCGCCTCTCCCCCTTCTTCATCCAGTAGCAGTGGAAGGTCCAGAATGCCTGATGGCCAGTGTACAGTGACTGAAGTGTGAACTCGTCATTGACACCATCATCACCAAATGGCTATGTTCCATTTCATTAATTTATTCCTCACTGTATGCTGTCATTCACTGTGTCATGGATCGGATGTGGGTGGAGTGCTTGATACAAGAGAGCATAACATACTCCATGTTTTTAGGTAAACAACTCAATTTTAGCAATCAAATTTGGTGCCTCTTTTTGGCTCACAATGATTTGGATGTATCTGTTTGATTTGTTTGTCTGTCTCATCCAATATACACCCAGCCAGTAGAAGCAATGTTGGGTTTTATGTTCTGGCACTAAGCGTTCTAGTACTGAGACAGGAGCTACAGCTTGGTAAACAGCCAGACGGATACATCATGTTGTTGTGAGCCATGAAATCTCATAATTGTCTATCCAGACATGATGAGAAGTAGGTGTAGGTGTGTTACTGAGGTGTTCAGCTGCCATCAGTCTGCTCACTTTTTGCCATTCGGTTGGAGGCATATCGAGTCTGTTCTTTTTAAATTCTGGGAATGTGGAAGTTAAAAGGTCAAAGTGACAAACCAACCTGCTTCTCCCTATCTTAGGTATTCTTTTGTTGACATGTATGATCCTAAAACCCAGAGGCTTTCTGTGAATCTCAGCCAGATCTGTGACATTTGAGACAGAAAGCATAAATGAGGATGATAACTCCTGGAAATGGAACTGTCTTTATCATTATCATGGACGGCTACATTCTAGTCATCTACACTTTAACTCTCTCAGCTAACATAGCACGCAGAAATGGGCTTGATAGAGCTCAAGTCATCTGACTACTCTTGCAAAGGTTTGAATCCTTGATAACTTGTTTCCAACCTCCACCTTACTTAAATGATTTTCTTACTTCACTGATTATGAAGCCTTTCCTTCAAAATGCTGAAATGTAACTGTTAACTTTTGGAAGTGTGTCATTTCAGAGCAGATTGTAGTTAGACGAAAATCTTCAGATTGTTTATCCAGATAAAGAAAGGAAACAGATTTGTACTTACTGACGCTCCTAAGCCATGTGAGTATTTAAATACTCTACAACCTAGTAATGTAACTCAGGAGCCCACAGGATTATCTGGCTGCCTGCATAAGGGTTTGTCTTTTGATTTCAATTAACCTGCTTCTTTCTGAAATTCTAAAATCTATTGATATAAATGAATGTGCGTAATAGAATTACAAATGAAATTTATTTGAACATTTCCCAGCTTTAAATAATTGGCATTTTAATGTAAAGTATCAGTGTTTTCCTTTTAAAGCTGTTGAGGCCATTAGTATTCGTATTGTCCCTGACTAAAGTATTCTCAATTGGTGTTTCAAAAGTTTTGTGATTTGTGCATGTTTGAAGAGAGAGTTATTTAAACACTACTGGTTGGCAGGATGATGAGAATTGATATTTTTGGGTTGAGTTTGAGTAATTGTTTTTAATTTGTTTGTTTTCGTGTTTTCTTATGGTTGTAAATCATCTTATGTATGATGTCTGAGGCAGTAAGAGAACAAGAACATGCCATTGCTATTGGCCATCCTGCAGAGATTTGAAGTTATGTTATTTTTATATTTCTTACATGCTTACATCATCTGCTCAGTCTTAGACTTTCCATTCTGAAGAATAAAGTTTGTGTAACAGTTTTTGCCTGGCAATTTTTTGTTACATGGTTTGTAATTTAAGAATAAATTGTGTCATTTCATCATCCTAAAAGGATATTTTTGTACTCTTGTCTCTTTTATTTTTGGCTTCTCATTTTACTGTGTGATAGGGTGAATGTTATATGGGGTTTTCTTTGAATAAATCTGTCGCAAGTGTTACATAAGTAGGACTATCAATGGTCCCATTGTAAGTGAGATCTCACCCCTTTTTTTTTCTATACTGCTACCTGTAGAGAGGACAAATCACATGCCACTGGATGAAGGACTGAAGTATTCGGTATCTATTATTCATATAACAAAGCCACCAAAATAAGACTATAAGACATCAAAATAGTTTATTATATAACAAGAAAGGTTGCATTTACTAATCCATAATGTTCACAGTATGCAACACAGCCTGTTTTTCTGTCATTGGAGACCATATAAACAATCTGTACATCATAATGAGGCCAACTTGTCTTCCCCTCAATCACCTTGTCGGTGTTTGGTATTCTGGTCACAGCAGCCATCAGCGCTCCAGCTGGGTGTCTGGCCAGGAAACATGACCTCTGGAAGGGGAACCGGAGATAAACCAGCATCCTTCAGGGACCTGTCCTGTTCTTGTCATTTCAGTCTGTGCCTGTTTGTGCTCTTTCAATACCTAATGCTGTATGGACTAATTGCACAAATTGGTGTCAAACCTTACAAAAGAATTCAGTATGTATATTTCAGCTGTTTAATTTGTCCCTGTGCTTCAGCATATTTCCAGATTCCCCATGCATCAGTGAGTCATTGTGCAGAGTACAGAAAACCAGCAAATAATGCTCTTACCTACAGCTACCAATAGAATAGAACCCGGGGGGGTGATCAAGGCCACGATAATGCACAGTGAGCTCTGAAGGATCAGCTGAGATAACCTACAAAACTGAAGTAAAGAGGAAACAAGCACAGCAGCATTACTCTCAATCCTACAGACAGATTCTGCTGCCTCATGCTTGTTATACCTCATCAGTATCTGTATGCTGCAGCTATCTATCTTCTGTCAGCCATGGTCTGATCATTACCATAATCCCATTTCAGGGGACCTGGAGGAAAGACTAACCAATGTGGACAGAAGGGATTTAGAAGATGGAGAATGTAGTCCTTTAGAGCTTTGTTTTTCATCCATATGGAAAACATAAGACTAATACCCAGTGTACCGCATATCCACTGTTTTATTACAGATGTGCTTTAATTGAGAGGATAAATCTTAAAATAAGTATTCATATACAGTATCAGTCTACAGAGTGTTAAACACACACACACACACACACACGATAATTTCTCAGGTCAGCTGACACTGCAGCACAGCTGATCAATGTTTTATCATAAACAGGAGGCTCCAGAGTCCAGTTTCTAAAATATAACCCCGAAGGAACAGGAGTTTTTATTTATGGTGTTAATTCAGTTTTCATACCAGAAAACACTACCCTCATTCTATCTTTTACCAAGTTATGTTTGCAATATATGACTAAAAAGGCACCTCTTCAGCTCGTATACAAACGATGTGATAAGTAGGCATAATGTCACATAGAGAGATAACAAACAAAATACCTGACAGCCATTCAAAAATGTGTCAATGAGTGATCTCTCATTATCAGTGTATTAGAGGCAATGAAGTGGCTGATTTATTGAAATGATGAATTCTGTAGTTATAACCATCAAAGAACAAATACTACCATTTGTTTCCACATTACCTTCGTCCACATTTAAGACACAACATTCAGCTTATTACATACAAAAAAGTAATTATAAATGTCTTCAGCACGCCAAAGATCTGTGTAAGTTTATTGACGTCAATCTGTCTGTAGCAGTTCTCTTCCACACAATTTTGGCCCGGACAGTGCTTTTTCCAAAAATGTCTGAGAAGCTCATGTGAACACAAACACTCATTTGTGTTTGGACTTGCTGGCCAGAGCCCGCAGGTTTGCCGGACCGCCCCACACCGTCCCAAATACATCCTTCTCAGTCCTCAGAGCCTCGGACAGAGGGAGCTCTCTCCCTGACAACACTACCTTCTTCACAGCCTGGATCACTGGGGTAGGTCCCTTTGTATAGCGACTGAGCCAGTTTTCAGCCTGCTGTAGCAGAGTCCCTGCACCCTCCTCTGCCCCGGGAACCTCCAGGACTCCATCTGCCAGTCCAATCTGCAGGCCAAGTTCGGGGTCCACTTTTAGAGCACCACCAAGCAACTTCAGGGCATTCTGGCTTCCGACAATGCGGACGAGCCGTGCTGCGCCACCCCAGCCCGGGACCAGGCCCATGTGTTTATGGACAAACTGGATCACACTGCCAGATGCCATTATCCTATAACAGAGAGATGACAGACACAAGTTAGATTATTAGCAAACATTAGGATGAAAGGTGACGGTGTAAAGGAGATCCTATGGTGTTTTCTTTTATTCACTTGTATAAAACCATTACCTGAAATCGCAGGCAGTGGTGAGTTCTGCACCTCCTCCCAGCGCTCTCCCCTCCACCAGAGCAACAGAGATCAGAGGCAACCTGCACTGAGAAAACTATTGTCAGCATACTGTAGAGCACATTACATAACAGCTTAACTCCAACGTCCTCAAGCTCAGCCTGGTTGCTGCTGTTTTACTCTGCTTTGATATTTAATACAGTAGTAGAGAGAAAAATGAAAGCCCTTACCTGAGTAGTCTTGTGAGAGCATTCTGCATGAACATACACATCTTCATCCCATCCTACAAAGGCAAAAGAAACATCACTGGGCAAGTACGCATCCAAGAGACAGTGAGACAAAAACAAGCAGACACCAAAGTAGACAGACAGGCAGACAGACTGACTGCAGCAGATATGCAGATAGCCACAGCAACTAGATGCCATAAATAATTTCACTGCTTTGATACCTGTGGGTTAGATATCGCCCGGACAGCATTGAGGTCCGATCCAGAGCAGAAAGTTCCAGCAGCACCCTGCACAATCAGGCCTTTACAGTCTGTCCAGTTCTCCAGCTGGCTCACCATCTCCTCCAGATCCACCATCATACTGCCTGGGAGGAAGGAAAAACTCAAAACACTTAAGACGGCTGCAATGAAATTTGTTTGTGTACAAGTGATCATGTGCAAAAGTCTGAGACTAAAAATGTACAGTGTTATGTGTACAATCACCTTACCGGAGAAGGCATTCATGCGGGAGGGGTTGTTGATGGTCAGCACAGCGACACCAGACTCTTGTTTGAGCAGATCAATGGAGCCTCCAGGAAAGGCCTGCAGCTTCTCTCTGATCTCCTCCTGGTTGAAGCCATGGATGCTGGAGTACACACAGCCCCTGCTCTGTCTCTGCAGCAGCCTTGGAGAACAACATTCATACGGTTTATTACAATCATTATATAGACCCAGGCCTTACAGAGGGTTGGAAAGACCCTAAAATGGAACCCTGATTCATTTAACTACCAAGCACATTACCAGTACGGTTGTTATAGATGTTTAATAGATGGTAAATTAACTCAAATCAAAGTAATTTGCATGTGTAATTGTAGTATAAAGAAACAATGTAAATCAGTCTGGTGTTGCAGACAGGAAACAATTTCTTTTAATACACTCCCTTACCTCTCTGTAAATCAGCCTGAAGGAGGTCTGAGCTACTCAAACAAACTGCACTTGTACACATAAGAATGAACTATATCTGACTCCAATTCATTGTAGTCATGAGTCAGAATCGGAGAAGTTATTACTTTTATATATTAGCATTTCACAACTCTCAGCACGTCTGAAATACATTTTGTTAGACCTGTCTGTGTTTGTGAGTTATGAACAAATAATGTGGGTCCAACTCCGTACACTTGGTGTTCCTTTATTTAAGACTTTATTTACTGTCACCAGCATGGCAATAAACAATGCTGTCTACACTCCCTTACCTGGCCCAGGCCCCACAGCTGCTGCCCAGGATCTGTCGACTCACCCCACACAGTACCATCCTGCAGCAGCACAGAGGTGGAGAAATCAGTTTTACCTTCATTCTGAGAAATTATTTAAAATATATAACTTTATTGAAAAAGGGATGTGGAACATATAATGGTTATTGCTGTAGCATGTTGTATACAATGAAAATCATCAGAATCAAACAGACCCTTTCCACAGCAGACATTTTGACTTGTCTTCAAATTACACCTGTGTTATTGCCACTGTGACAAACTGTTTGCAGTGAAAGAGGTCTATGAAATACAGTACTTTCCAAACCAGCGTTGCTACTGTGATGTATTTGGTAGAGCACAAAAGGTTCAGTATAAAGAGCTACTTTGTTTTTCATAAATAAATTATTTCTATTAAGGACGTGGTGCTGGTGTAGCTTTGTATGCTATGAAACAGTCTACACACACACACACACACACACACACACACACACACAGAGGTGTTTTCACTGGTGAAATACACAGTTTGTGACATCATGTAATTCCCAGCATAGCTCCACCCAACTCCATTAGCCAGAAACATAATATGATTAAAAACACCTGGGCTGGTGTTTCAGGCTTTCAGTCAAGATGCACAAACACATTGTGCTTCTTCACAGCGACTGAAGGAGGAAAATGTGAAGTGATAGAGAGAAAAGCGCTTGAAAATATGAACTGATGAATACCAAAGAAGAAACACTTACAAAGCCTGGTTACAGAAACTATTTGTGTTAGCAGGAAACCCAAAAAGCAGCTGCCTTTAAACTTAGAAAGTTACTTTAACATTAAAATACTTTTATAGCACAATACTATACTTGTGTTTTGTAGCCTAAATAAAGTCATTAAACAGGATGTTATTAACTAAAGGTCTGTGATGTTTACCTAGCTTAACTTACTGTGCTGCTGTACATTGAATCTTAATGGAAAACATCGAGCATTGGTATGAGAGTCCTCTGGGTGAAAGACTGCGATACGGAAGCAAAGCGAACACCACACATTCATTGATATCAGAGAATGTAGACGGGCTCTGTTAATATGCAGTGTTGGATGTTGAATGTCTTTTGTTTTGCAGTAAACCACTGATTCTTGAGAGTTGGCCACTGCATGTCATCCCAGGTTCAAGTGTCTAACTGTAATACAGCGAGCAGCAGACAGAACTAATGTTTCGTTCAACACTTTACATAACATTATAATAACTACAAATCACTGGGTAACCAAAAACACAAGCACCAACCTTGCTTATTGACAGCCGTGTGGTGTTACTCTGAAACCCGTCCCCCTGGAAACTAAAGGTCCTGGGAAGGACAGGATACCGGCATACAGATGTAGTTGCACAATGTATCCACAGGGGGGCGGAATAACACCGCCACGGAGCAAATATGATTTGGGATTCATTTGTACACATCTCCTTGTGCAAAAAGTCAGGTATTTCCATTAATTGTGCAATCGTGATATTGGGCCACATACATTTTACACAACACTCTACGAGCTATAATTTATTGTTCGACTTAACTGTAATAACATTCATCATTGGCCAGTGCACTGCACATAGAGATCTGCTCTTTGTCTGTCACAACTCTGTAAACACAGCATACTAAAGGAACTGGCTCCACAGACATGTCCTTATTCAGTAGTACTGACAGAGGGATTTCAATATCATCTACAAGTTATAGTACAGTGCTGGCACAGGCAGCTGGCAGTTACATTTGACTACTGTTCAATTAGGTTTTCATTATGTGTCCACGTGGAGGTAAAAAACAAAATAGGTTCCGTTTGATTCAAGCCCTGAAACATATTTCCTTGACACCAGTGAACTTAAAGGCAGTGTGTGGATCCACGTCTAACACTGAGTCAACATCTTGTCAAACAAAAGCGTGCTCAGAGATTTGGTTTTATGTGTTGCCAAGTCAAACAACCAAAAACTGTATACATCTTCAAATGCCAGTGATGAACACACTAGGTATTTTTTAGAGATATTAAAGTAGGGGTTTGGAATAATATAACAACTGAAGGAAAATGTACTTTTACTATTGATTTAAGAGCAATAGTTGTGTTCTGGAATTGCTCTTTTGCCATTAAAAAAGTCCTTAAAAGATGCAACCATTGTTTGACAAAATGTCTTGTTCAACTCCTCCTAGAAACATGTAATATCATACCAAGAGTGACTATCACCTTCCTGAGGCACAGGAAAAAGTGTGAATTGCTCTGGGATCATACTGTGCAAACACAGACAGACAAACAGACTTGTAGGCGTGGTATTAAAATAATTTATTTATTAAGTTATTTTGGAAAGTATAACTAAAGCATCAGTGTTAATTCTGAGGTTTGGAAACATTCAGATCATGCGTGTAAAGGAGACAAGTGGAGGGTCAGATTGGAGTTATGAGTAAGAGATAGAAATGAGGGCGTACAGACAGCGAGACAAACAGCATAAACTAACAAAAACAAGAGGATGATATAGAGACCAAGATGTGTGCACAAAGAGGAGGGAAAATGTGCCAAAACAGAGGGAGGTTGAGACACTTCCTGTGCTGTGGTCTGATCTATGGCTACTGGGAGCATAAATCCTTCACTTCTATCCACACATCCTCTCCTGCTATTCACAGCCCAGAACACATCTATGAAAACAAGCTCAGGAACCAAAAATACCTTTCTGTTTCAGCTGAATCACTGAGGATACCAGAAACATGCTGAATCCAAAGTCTAAAACAAAGTTAAGTGTTGCAAAACTATATTCACGTGCCAATAGCTATCACTCATCTGTACTAAACCCTGGAAGCACATTATTTCATGATGACATTAAAAGTAATATCTCATGCTGTCTATTTTTCACATACTCTTTAAAGTGCAGTTATTTCCATGGAGTGACGATTTAAGACCCATTTTTCCCTAAATGGATGGCTTTGTGGAACCAAAGTCCTTCAGGATTCTACCGCAAACATAAAAGGTCATCAACAAGGATACAGTGCACTGCATCCAGGACTGCAATAGATTCAACTAAGTTTAAAAGTCTGCACCTCTCCAGTCTATTTAAAAGTGGGGAAGGAATTCAAAAAGGTCGGTGGGACTCTTCCCAGGCATGCATTCCAGACACGCTGACTCTCCTTCCTGCTCTGTACAGTACATTCAGCTAGGTCAACTAGCCTGCAACCTGTCTCTAAATATCACTCTGTGAAGTGCAGCACCTGGAGGATGTGGTGGGTCACTGGAATTTACATACACAGTAGTTTCTAATCACCCAAGATTCATTGTCTATCCGTGTTAGGTGTGTGATGGACTGGCAGTGTTTCTACTCTTTTACAAACGTTCATTCCCAAACCATTATCTCACTGTGCCTGTCCACTTCCATTCATCCTTTGCTCAGCCCTTTCAGTCATTTTGATTAAAGTCAGCCCTCCTGTTTTATGATCCATCCGGATATCAGTGATGCAGCCGCAGACTCCAGCTGATAATGGAACCCTGTCTGAAATTACAACCTGGCTAATGGGAGAGAGCGAGACAGTGAGAGAGACAGAGAGAGAGAGAGAGAGATACACACTTCACACATTTGTCTATTGCATGCACAAATGTCATTGCATGTATGTCTCAGAGTGCGTTTCAGTGTGTGTGGTTGTGTGTGTGCTGCACGTGGCCTCTAAAGTGATGCATCAGTGTACTGATCGATATGCAGCTGTCTGGGGCTCTACAGGAAGTCAGGGAATGCGCTGCAGTCAGCATGGCTTTATACCAACTCTCCAAGATAAGAAAAACACACACACACACACACACACACACACACACAGAGACCAGATAAGTGCCAGTAAAGGTCTATTTCAGTGCAGGAAGAATGGCAGGTTGGCAGGTGCCAGAGGCTCTCAGGGACCAAGAGGTTTCTTGTGAGGAGTGAGGGGAGGTCAGTGTAGCTGGAGGGCCAAGGGCCAGGAGACATCAGAAAGCCAATGAACATTTTTCCACAGCAGCAGCAACTGGGATGAGTCTGCGGGAACTCAAAATGTACACACATTACAAAGATCAAATGCAACCATCTACTGTCATATGTACTGTATATTTGAGACCAGACCTAAACTGTTAAAACATGACCATACAGAAAGTTACTCAAAGTAGTTTATTAACAACTCACAAAGCTCAAAAACATTTTTGTTTTGTCTATCCTAATCTTCGTTGGCATAAGAGGAAAATATTCTGCAAAGATATACCTAATGTCCAAATGTGACTAGCTAGTCGAGTGGATGGAGGCTAATGATGGCCAAGAGCTTCTTTGCAGGCCAATCAGACTTTATCATGTATATCCTGTTAGGTTCATGTTTGTAGCAATAACACACAGAAAGCCGCTAGCAAAAATGTAGACTTGAAACAATCAAAAGGACAAAGCGGCTAATTATAAGTATCATGAGTTCATTCAGAAGATGGAGACTACAGAAAGGACCTGCTTTGGTCTAGACACATCAAATCAAATCAGATCAAATAGTGTGCATGGCCAGTGGGTGTTGCGTGTGTCTGTGTGGATATGGACTTTTATTGGAGCATCAATGGAAATGAGCTGCATACAGTCTGATTTGATCGTTGTCTCTGGCTGAAGTTGAAGTAGTGTGAAATCACTCCCTGTAGCATTTAGCAAGACCTGTGCATGCACATAGCTCTCACTGGCTCATGGTTTAAATGACAGTATAAAACATCCACAGGTCAGTTTCACAGGAAAACAATTTTTATACATTTACTGTAATACGTACGTGAACACAGGTGCTGTTCAATTGTTCAGGAAACCACTGGCATATGGTTTGAAGAAGCTGTTGTGTCTACACTTCATGACAATCATCTGTTAAGTAACTGGAGTCAGTGTGTTTGCATGATAAAATGTTCCATAAATTCTTTGCAGTGTTATTGTGTTTTAAGCAGCGCTGGAATCAAAACAGTTAGTACTGGTTATATAATGGTTTCAACATCTGGAAACCTCCAGACTTGAGCACAGGCCAGTACTGGTAATCTACGCTCAACCTTGAAACAGGAAAACAGGGTGAGACAGCCAATACAGCGCTAGGCTGGCCATCAGGAAAGGATGACAATATTTATATTTATATCAGCGCCAGGGTAGGATTTCTGGCACCGTAACATTGTTGCACCTGTTATTTCAGTCAGCCTAAGGTGCCAGGTTTCAGGGTGAAGGTTCAGGTGTCCTGTCCCTTTCAGGGCCAAGGGTGTGTATGGCTGTGTGTGTACGTTTGTATGTTTATGTAAGTGAATGGGCACATATGTGTCAGTGCAAAGGTGCAGAACTGATCATTTACCATATGGTGCAGTTGAAATAATACAGGTATTTTCATGCTGTAGGCATACAGAAAGGTGAGGAGTGAGATTGTCAGTCTGGCTCACTACAGCACTTGACAAACACAATCACACACATTTAGAAAAAGGACTACATAAAACATTAATGGAGGAATGCATACACACACGGTACACAAACATGCAGCAGAAAAGCATACACCCACACCATCAAAGTAAAGGACGGTTTCTCTGCCGCTGTCATGTAGCTCTGCAGTGCATTACTCAGAGGAAGAGATCAGAGAGTCGCCAGAGATGTCAGTCAACAAGATTGAGGAGCCAGACAGTCGTTTGGTTCTGGTGCTTAATCTTTGTGAGTTAACAGTCGCCTAGGACTCCTCTTGATGCTGTCACAAAAATATTTCTGTGCAGTGTTTGATTGATGTTCATGTTATTAAATTATTGCTACTGCAGGCTAAAGATTGAAGTCTGCAGTGGGTCTGCACAGTGGCAAGGTCAGCTTAGCTGGTAATTTGTGAACTAAATTATTTGAGATGAGAGAAAATAACAATATACTGGTTAAAGTCTTATTTAATCTAAATAGGGTTTGTTTACAGAGTTGCTCAACTTTATATTACTTTAAATAATAACACTCTCTGTATAATGTGTTATGTTGTACTGGTGCTTTCAGTCACGCTTCACAAATGGGTTTAAGCTTCCAAGAAACAATTTTTAGAACAGTAATTATTTGACAAACGGGTCAGTCAAAGCTGCCCAGCATGACAAAACACATACAGTATAATGCAAATGTAGATATTTTGGTATGTGATATGAAAAGAGAAGAGAAATCATTTAGTCCTTATGTTTATTACACAAAAAGAACAGCAAAGGCATCACTTTCATCATGATATGATTCACCACTTTGACCCAAAAAGCTGAGTAATATCCTGATATGTGACCATTCAGAATTAGTAAAGGTAGAAAAAAGGCTTGTCATTTTTTTTTTCATAAGCATCATTATTTATGTTATGCACAAAAGCAGGCTCTTGTGAATGATGTTTACCGTTCGGTTTGAGTGGAAAACATCAGCAATGGTGGACAGCAAAAATAAACGCAATTACAAACAATGCATTTAAAAAAAATGCATATAAAGAAAACCAGCCTTTGGTACAAATTTATAAAAAAGGAACTCACATTCACATTTTTGTGTTACTGTAATCATGAAAAATGTAAAGCCGGTCATAAAGAAAAATGTTTTAGTCACAGGCAAGGTACAGTCCAGGCATTTACTGTAGGTAATATTCAAGATTTATTCAGCACACTGAGAGCGACGCTAGGGGGAAATCTCCACTCTGCTGCCTTTATCTCGCAATCCAACATGATGCTGCATATTGTGTATGTATGTATGTCATATTTTGTGCAAAAAGCACACAAAACTTCTTGTACACAAAATACCGTACATATTAAATACATCATTCTGGATTTCATTTGGCTGGAAGTTTTTAGATCATTTGAGCTAGCATAACTTTTAAAGGTGTTTAATAGAGTACATAGAACAGAATGAGTAGTGAAGGGTCTGTTCTTGGGAGATCTGCAAAACTACTCTAGTCAAGGCTAGGATCCAGACCTGAGCATAAGATATCCATTCAGATGGCTGGCATGAATAAATAATGCACTGGATGGGACTTTTTTCTTTGAAAGTGATGGTTTCACTGTCCTCTGAGGCTACGCATGACACCTTGCAGGTTCATCTCAGCATACTGCTTAATAAGTGCAGCTGCTTCAGATCCTTTTCTTGCCTTCCTTGGTCAGTTAGGCTCCTCTGGATGCCACATACATTCTAACGGTGAGTTGGTGAACTCACAACTAAAGCACTTCTGAGTCTGTAGGAGTGGAGAGGCAGTCTGTGTTTGGTATGTATGTACAATAGTAATGAAAAGGTAGTGTTCGGAGGTTGTGGTGAGGCGAGAGATCAAATGATGACAGTCTCTATGTGAAAGGCTTGTGAGTAGCTAAAGGAGGAAGTGTGCTTCTGTAGAGGGAGGGATGGAGGCACAACAGGGGTGGTAGAGGGAGAGGAGGAGGCGGAGGAGGAGGAGGTGGGGGAGCGGCTGGCCCATCGGGACGGGAGGCGTCGGTTGGCTGGGCGGGTGGGCCTCGAGAAATTCTTCTGGATGGAGGAAGAGGAGACAGAAGACTCTTCGTTCTCCTGTGGAGAAACAAATGAATTACCATTTAGGATTATCACACCGCTCTATCCACTATCAGATTCACACACTCAGATACTTTACATTTTGTCACGTGTTCCATCTGTAGTCTTCTTGACCCTAGGGAAAACAACAGGCATATTTCAAACATGAACAGTAATAAATTCAGCACGCGTGTGGAAAGGTCACACAAGTAGATCCCGTTTGCATTTGGTCAAGAGAAGAGCACCTGGACTGAAACCGTGTGCAGCAACCTCAGAATCTTCAGTGTTTTATTTTGGACACCGCTCCTCAGCTGAGGTTAAACTTAAGTGGTGCCTCTAATTACATTCTTTTCATGAGGTAAAATAAAATTGGCTTGATAATCGCTCCCACGATCTCTTCTTTAACATTTGCATGACTTTAAAGCAGAGTAATCACTTCAGCTTTCTCGTTTACGTGATCTGCCAAGGGCATTTAGTCAGCTGGCTTCTTGCAGATACTTGTGTAATTACAACACAAAGACCAGAAAAACACTTCCACTACGAGGCCCCGTGGAGGGACTGAAAGATGAAAGATGAGGGTGCTGGACCTCCTGCCAAGTTTAAACTTTATATGCCACACCGCCGGTTCCTTTTGTTAGGAGCCTTTAAGCAATGGAATGGCCCAGATGCCCAGATTATAATGGAAGCTCTGGCCTGCTTCTGTCTCTTAGCACATACCAGAAATAAACAACATTCCCACCGGAGCTGTCCTCAGTCAAGGGCAACTAGCGCTTAGTGTTTCAGAATGGAATGAAACAGAACGAAATGTGCAAGTTCATCCAGGTCCACTGTGTGATTGGCCTTGAAAGTATAGTTTGACTTAATTGTGTTTTGGTCCAAGCAAAATGCAGACTTACATATTTTGTTCCAAGACAGCGTTTCTTACATGTTGACATACATAGCATGAGTAGCACACCTGGTGGGTGGCGAGGTACATATTAGATTCTACCCACCTGCACTGTTAGATGTATCTCTTTCACACCCATGGCACTGTGGCTGCTGCTGAGCTGTGCGTGTTGGGTGTATGAAGTCTGTGTGTGTCTCAGAGTGGGAGGTAAGGGCAGAGGGTCCATGTCCAGCATGTCCAGTTCTGTGACCGTCTCCTCCTGCCTGACACTGATGTTAGGACTGGAAGACATCTCGCCCCTTTGGCTCTGGTGCTGTTGAGCCCGGGCAGCGCTCTCATAATTCTTCAGAATCCTTTCCACTGCCCCATAGTTGGACCTGGATCCCTCAGGCCGTGGGTACGCCGCCAGTGTGAGGTGCTTCCAGGGATGGTCATTCATCACTCGAGGCCCAGGTCTGGAGGAGTCAGACTGGGAAGGAGGAACAGCCACATGCTTTGGCTGCGCCTGTCTTGTTGGTCTTTGTTTGTTCTCAGCAGACGGCTGCTGGAGTGAGACACCAACTCTGGCTAGCTGAGGCTTTGCTCCACTGAGACTCTCATTCTCGAGGCTGGAACTGTCCACATTCTGACCCGGCAGGGTATTTTCAGGCCAGATAGGCTCCAAAAAGAGAGCTTCTGTGGCTGCTCTGTGTTGTGTTTTCCGGGAAGGACTGATTGCTGTCCGAACTTTGTGCTTGACCTCAGAATGGTGTGCAGGACTCTGGGATGTTATTGTGGTTGCCTCCCTGAGTCCAACCAGTGACTGTTCAGAGGAAAGGTTAATTCTGACCTCTTGACCTTCAGGACCACATCTCATTCGCCTTGGTTGGACCTTGTGAACTGTGGAATCCATGGTGGAGAGAGATTGTACGACTTCAGCATGCACACCCATGATGCTAGTGGTGACGTCACTACAATGCGGTTGAAATGTTGTCTCCCTGGGAGGTAAAACCTCATCTGATGCACAAGTTGCTGAAAAGACTGGTTGGCAACCCACAGAGCAGGCATCTGTAAAAGCGTCTTGTTCCTCTACGCCATGACCCATTTCAGCCTGAAACAGAGTTCTGTTGAACTCAGCTGTTTTTTGTTCCAGCATTATGTTTCTTTTGGAGCCCTGGAGCTTGGGGCTGGGAGGTGATATTTCAAGAGAGGACAAGAGCAAATCTACAGGTAATTCTTTGACATTCGGAGGAATTTGTAGCTCTTTTAAATTCCCAACAGCAGGGCTGTAATCAGAGCGCAAGTCTTTTCCAGCAGTCAATATGTTGACTTCAGAGAAGCTTTTCTGGACAGTATCGTGTGTAGACAACTTGCTGTTTGTGAACTTGCTTGCGTCACAGGACCAGCGGTTGTGGCAGCAGCCAATATTACATTTAGTGTTAGCAGGTACAGCACACGACGCAACCACACCATCTATTAAAACTTTTCCTTCATTTTCTTGTAGCATGGCCCCGAACTTCCTGACAATAGATGGACTGCTACACTTTCTGTCTACCAGAACACAGGGGCTATGGCACTTCCTCACTGTTGACATGGGGGATTCTGGGATGTGGAGTTCTGTGTCTGGATAGGTGGGGGCACTCAGATTCCAGGAGGACATGCGGGGAGGGATGGGAGGAGCTGCTGTATCATTCTCAGAGAGTACTCCAGGGGTTGTCTGTGTTTCTCTGTAGCTGTCTGGTCCGGTGGTGTTTGCGCTACAGGATGTGCTCGGCTCTCTGTTGGCCTGCCAGGTGTTATCTGGTGACAAGGTGATCCAGTTTTCCCTCTCCAAGGCCCGGAGGTCATCGTAAATCTGGCTCAGATCACAGGGAGAATCATGCAGCTCCGGTCGGATTTTATCATGGCTAAACAGTATCTCACTCTCCTCAGGTAGGCACAGGGATTCAGATCGAGTCCTGAAGGGAGTTAAACAGTAAAATCAAGTCACTTTAATTATAATTAATCTATGTCATTGACATCTCATATATAAATAATTCTAGTTTTCAAGACAAGACATGTTCAAATATCATTTTTCATCACTTGCAACACTTAAACGTTGAGACTGAGATTATGTAAATAACAAGCCCATCAAGACATGAGAGATGGAGTGATTATCATAGTTCCATGTTGGCGCCAGGAAGTTAACATAGCAAAGGGGATTTATTTACCTCCAATCCCCGCTCTTCTTTCTGATCTCATCCTGGTAGCTACAAAGCTCCTCGCTTACACGGGCTATCTCCTTCAGAGCCTGAGACACAGAGGAAGGGAGACAGAGATACGGTGAGACATGCTGGACACTGTATTGCTGAACTACTGTACAAATAAAAGTTCAAACTGAGGTCGATAAAGAGGATTATTTAGTCAAAGAATCCAAGGAATGACAAAGACAGACCTACAGGAGACAGTACAGGAACACTGAGGATCAATAGGTTTGTGTCAGCAGTGTCTGTATACTGTAGTGTTTTAGCAACTACAAAAGTAGCTTGAAATACTCACAGCATTCAGAGCAGTGGTGTTCTTCTTCTTGTCGCTGCTGTAACTCTTCTCTGACCAAAGAGGACTTTCTCGAGAACTGGCGTGGACATTTTTTTCGTTATCTTGAGAGACATTTTTCTGTGGCGTTCCAGAGGCTCCGTGAAAAAAAGCATCCAGCTCTGCTGTATCCGCAGCTTGCTTGCGGTCACTGACTGTGTCTTGCTGCCAAGTGCCTCTAGATATTAATTCATCCACCAGCTCAGGCTGTGAATGGTCATTCTGAGTGAACCGACCACCAGCGTTAAATTCACAGGGACCGTCTGCTTGGAAGCAGGGGGAGTGGTGACAGTCTGTGCCAACACAACCACTGCCGCTGATGTTTCTGCTGCGCCCAAAACCAGGTAAAGGTGAATGCCTGATTGGTTCTGACTGGCTGCTGCTGCTGAGCGGCTCGGAGCGGGAGTTTTCACTGAGCAAACTGGAGCCAGTGCTGTTTGAGCGTATGCTGAGCCTATGTACAACATCACTGATGTCCTGCCTCCCACTGTCTGGCCCGGTCCCTTCTCGCTTGGCCCTCACTTCACAGTACAGCTAGAAAAAAGAATAGAGAAGAATTGGAGGTCATAATTTTGTACTATAATGTAATTATGTTGGATGAAGCAAACAGTGTCCTTTAGTAATTTGAAGTTCATTCTTTAAAGATGAATTACAAAATTTGATTTTACAATAATTCTACAACAGCAATATTACATTATATAAATCAACAATTATATCAGATCAGTCAAATATTCTCAATATAAACACTTTTACATTTATTGAATGGTATTATTATATCATCTATTAAATTAAGAGCAGAGGTACACCAAGTACACAAGTGGGCAAGGGGCATACATTAGGAGTCTCCAGCCTACAATATGACTGCACTTTTTAACAATGACTCTACTTTCACTGGATGCTTAGAATAAGGTGAAATACAGTATATAGGTCAAGAAAGGAACTGACAATATAAAGAATGTCAGTGGTATAATACCTAGGCTGTGTCTACTGCTCCTGCATAATCCCAAACTAATATGGGATGATGGGAAGACAGCATAGCAACAAATCTTATGAACATATTTAGACCAGAAGATTAAAAAAAACATCCAAAGAATTCTTTCAAATAAAATTGGATAACCTCTGGCCTCCTACCATGGAGTCCCAAAATAGTAACTATTTCATGTTGACTGGGCTCCCTTCCCATCACGCAATGTCTAGATGGGACTACTTTAACTTGCTTTATTCCTCTGCTGTTTTCCTCTCTCATTTTCTGGTCTCTGAGGGGCAAATGAGAGCCACATGTTCTTTTCATAGCAAATTGTTCCAGTGCCTTCGCACTCTGTCCAACTACTTTTGTATGGCTTCCCTCCTTAAAAACACTAATCTGCTCCTCTGGGCATGTAAGATTTTGAATTGCACTTTGTCACCACCCATGCTTAACTCGATTATTCTTTATCTTTGTCCCTCTATCTCAGGTCCATTCATTTGCTCTGTGACCTGTCCATCTAACTTAATCCAACCAGCTGAAGTTGGTTCCTAGAGCTCAAGGTGAAGTCTTCAAATTGCTTGTTTGGTCCAAACAACTTTAAAAAGAACATTTACTGTCCTTTTGCAGTAAGTCATCCCATTTTAACCATCTTATTTTTGGCATTTTTGTTTGAAAAGACAATTATTATCAAAACTGTTACCAATTACATTTTGGTCTGTCGACTAATCGATTAATTGACTAGCTGTTCCAGCCATATATCTTATATTTGATCTACTAACTAAAACTAAAACAGATCTAATATTTAGTTGTCTCTGACATGATCAGGCATATTTCTAAACATGAACAGATCATGTTTTTCTTTGACATGACATGAATGTTATTAAATCAGCTTTCTGTTTGTACTTTTGAAAGTCACAGATGTCAGATGTCATGTTTTTATCTTTCATATTATTCTCTCTCCTAAAGGTCCTTCTGATGCATGCCAGCTTCTCTGTCTACATCACTACAGGTCATAGACTGTCTCAATCACTGCCTCTGTCTCAGAGATACAGGGATCAGAGAAATAGCAGAACCCTCGCCCTCCTCCTTCCACTCCTTCCTCTGCTCATACTCTGCAGCTGCACTGATCAGGGATATTGTTTTGACAGTGTTGATGGTGAACAGGATGTGTAGGAGGGAAGTGTTACACACTGTAGGCTGCTCAGTGCATAGGAAGCTATATATCATACATGGAGAGAATGTAGAGATGTTTCATAAGTTTTTAAATGGTTTTACTTTATCTAGTCATCCACTTGCCTTACTGTTACCTAAATCCAACCTTAAGCCCAAACAACTCATTAGACCTTGATAAAAATATTCTCACTCAGAGCGCCTTACCTCTTCTATTTTCTTCTGCATATCCTTCAGCTGGCTCTCCCACTCCCTCCTCTCCACGTCGAACCTCTCCAGCAGCTCAGCTTTCTCCCTTGACCAGTCCCTCTCATTGTGCTCCAGGCGACAGCGCAGGTCCATGGCCGTCGAGTGTGTGTCCGCCAGGAGCCTCCGCTGCTCTTCCCTCTCCTGGCGGAGCGTTGAGGTCTCGCTGTGCTGTTCTCGAGTGCTCCGTGACGCCACAGAGCCAGGACCTGCTGCTGACTGGACCAACCCAGCACCCTCTCTAGCCTCCAACTGAAGAGGAAGAAACAGACAGGGAGTGTGGAAGGCACAGAGGAGGGGAAGAAAGAGAGCAGGGAGATGGGAAGGGAAAGAGTGGGAGAGACGGTGGAGACAACAGTGGTAATAAAGGAGGAGAGCCAGATGACAAGACAAGCAATACAGGAAGGAGAGAAATTGTTGAAAGTGGAATTAAGAGAATGAAGGAGTGGCAGGAAGAGAAGGTGGGGAAAGTGGGGGAATAACGCACCATGGGGAAAAGAGTGAGTGGGTTCAGAGGAGGGAACACAGAGAAAAGAGAAGATTGAAAATATCCTGTAAGAACTCACACACAGGCTTCACGAGTTCAGGGTTCAAGTCTCTTTTCTATGGTTCTTCACTAACACAGGATACAGTGCAGGATATGGCAGATTCAGGCACAGTGAAATGTGTCTGCAGAGGATGCATGTGGTCTCAGTCAAACGACACGCTGGTGTACCAGTTTTTTGAGAAACACAGATTCATACAAAGAGGATCTTTCAAAACAAATAAGGCCAAACTTCTGATTCCTTTCAACGCACACATACTAGAATAATTTTATTAGGTTGAATTGGACATTTTTGTTTTAATGAGAATATTACTGAGTGTCCCTATTCAATGCCCTAAAATACCCTGGGCATTTCCCCTGGGAATTTCACTGTTTTACGGCCAAAAACATGCTATCACTTCTAATTCTATTGAGAATCAATAAGAGATGTTGCGAAACTATGCCCTGCTTTATACTGTGCCTCTAAAAAATAAAGAGCTGACTGACTTAAATGACATTAAAGATTTCAAGTCTTAGTGGTCTGATTTGTACATCTGGATAAGATAATGATCTTAGGAAAACTGAAATTCTCTACCAATGTGATACTGTAATACAATGGAATTATTGGATTTAGAGGCTTTGCTCTTTTATAGTATTTAAGAATAAGGGTGTGTTTTAGTACATAGATCCTTACATTCTGTGGTAAATGTGCATTTTTGTTTGCCTTTAAAAAACAGAAAAAAGGGATGGCTTTGGATCTGGAAAGAGACCAAGACAACGCCTTTGTGTGTGCATATATGCTTGGGCCCTCAGTGTGTGTGTAGTGTGTGTGTTAGAAAGAGGGAGAGAATGCCTACGAGCATGCCTGAGTGTGTTATTTCAGTGTGCCGTCACAGACAGCGACCAAAGCCTTCTTACAAGCCTCGAGTGCTATTTCTGCCTGTGGCCTGGGGTCATGAAATTATGGTGTAGAAAAACAAGTCAACCCTTTCTGTCTGCCTGTGGCTCTTCTCAAAGTTCTCCACAATTACAGATGGATGGTGATGGGTGCTGTCCACAGTCTATTTAAACATCCAAATGTAAACAAATAGTGAAAGTGCAAAAACAAGAGGGCTAGGGTCAAAATGAAAGAGCTGAAGACTTGTCTTGATCGAGACAGCAAAGAAAATCTTTAAGGAAATTCTGGAAGAATACGTGCAAACAGGGACACAGTTCAACATCAATACAGCCAGCTCAAGGAACAAACACTGATGCACACACGCACACACGCACACACACACACACACACGCACACACACACACACACACACACACACACACGACAACTTGAAATCACTCTCAAAGATCCATCCCCTGCTACCTTTCGACAGGGTTGTCACTGTATTGCATTGGCACAGGGTATATGAAGGTAACTGTGTCACCACGGTGACCCACTATAAATAGCGGACACAGAGCCTTGTACAATGTCACATTCCTAGGGGAGGTGGGGAGAAGAGGTAAAGGGGAGGAGGGGGAGTTGGCTGCTAAGGCAGAGTGAGATGTCTCCTTGCTGCCAGCAGCTTTCATAAATCAGTGGCATGCGGAGAAATATGCCTGGAAATATCCGGCCTAAGACCTCTGCCTGGGACCTTGGATGCTTGCTTGGTATTTGGTGGTGGAAGTGCCCAAAAAGGATGTGGAAACAACATACAGTAGTTACATTCACAGCCATAACTTAGTGTGGAGAAGAGGTGTATAATTAAAATCTCAAGAATAGAACAAGCATGCAACTGTTGGTGAGGTACAACTGTGTTGATGCTTAATGAACTCACTTTGGATTAACACGTATGGCAAGAGTATGACATACGGTAATAACTAGGCCAAATTCAAAATGATAAAATGATTTGGCAAAACTGTCTGTAGCTACAGAGATTATGTAAGAAACAATATGTAAGATGTGGAAATTTTATGCATGAAACTTAAAAGTAAAAAAAAAGTAATTATGTAGCAATGTATGTTTCTACAGCCTTGTTTCATTGATTTCAAGGGGAATCCGACCTGGTGATGGCATTAAGAATAACTTAGAATGCCAGTCTTCTCACTGATGGTTTTGTCCATTTATGCAGGTCATATAGAGGCATCAGTATTACATTGAGGCTGTGAGACTGTAGTACATTTAAGTGCAGTTAAGGATATCTCCACCATGACAATGTGCAAATGCCATTTGACTTATGGCCTCACTTAAAATGACTGTACAATTTCATCTTACCGGACCCAGGTGCTTAAGTATCCATCACTGCTTCCATTCACTACCTTCAGCTTTCTGTAATACACTTGACTGCGCGGATAATCCTCTACAGTATTCTGGCTGCCTTCCTCGGACCGTTGCTACCACTTTCAAAGTCTCTCTGCAAAGTGCAATAATAAACGAACAAAAGCTATCTGTCCTGCTAGGACTGGAATACTAACAAGTGTATCATAGAAAACTGCAAGACCTCTTTGACTGTATGACTCATTCAGTTGATGTGATCATACTGCTCTTTTCAGACATAAATGCTAATTCTACAATTACTTTTCAAATCAATTCAAACTGCCCTAACAACTGCCCTTTACCTCCATAACACCCTCTGTTTTCACTCTCTGTCTGAGCTAAAAATGGGATCTCCCCTTCACTCGTACAGTGGAACCAACATGTGGAAAATGACTTTCTCACCCATGCTGAAATTGTTCACATTTCACTTCTAAGTGAAATGAAGCTACAGCAGCAAGCATTCTTGTCTGTTTTTTTTAGCTTGGTTCCAGACCTCCAATCAGTCTGACTATCTGGTTGCTATTTTTTGTGTTGTGTCTAAATGTTGCATTTAAGAGTGAATGACATAGATTAAAAAAGACTTTTCAACAACATTATTCAAACAGCCAAGATCAACAGCTAAATTACATTTAATGTTACTTTCCTGAACTAAAAGCAGAATTTGGTTAGAGGCCTGTTACAAATTTACTCTAAACTGCTTATGAGGGAAGTCTGTAAATTAGTCACTTGATTACTAAGCTGCGAATGATTTATGAACACTTGACACGGTGTATTTTCAACTTGATGAGCAACTCTAGATTAGCACTTGGTAAACATGTACACAAAACTGTGGCAGGATGTGGCATCAAGACAAAACAACTTTTACAATGGAGCTAACCCCACCCTGCATGCCTTAACACATTTCCCTTGGTCTGTTTGCTTAGCCAATATAGACTGCACATGTGTGTCTGCATGTGTGTGTGTGTGTGTGTGTATGTGTCTGTGTGCATGATCCATTCACAATTACTGTACACTTTGAATGTTTACACACATAAAACACACACAGAGTGGCAAGGCTCTTTGACCAATACAGATATTCAGATGCACATCAGCATCTCAGTATAAACATCTGTGCATGTATGTGTGTGTGTGTGTGTGTGTGGGGGGGGGGGCATCGTGGTATAACGTCCTGCAGTAGATAAAGCCTCTTTCTCACTGCCACACTGGGCTTTACAAACACAAAACAGAACAGTAAATGTCTCTGTTTTTATAAGGCTCTCTGTCAACCACACTGTGAGAAGGCATGGAGCCAGCAGGACAAAGAAGAAGAGAATGATCTGTGACTGATCTAGTAAAACCATGTTACTATGTTGCATTCCTGTGTCATCAGTGGTCTTGTCCAACTGCTCTGCAGTATCATTGCACCACTTTGTCAATTTCCAGCACCACATTATGGAATTTCTGAGCTTCGTTACTTCACTCAGAGAATCACTAGATTTTTCTTGTAGCATTGGGGACCGAACAAAAGGAGAGCTGTGTGATGGGTGAATGGGTGACCAGTCAGTTTTAAGTCTGTGATAGGAATCATATGGGGCTCAGCTGGCAGATGAAGACCACTGTCGTCACAACATCGCAAAAAAAAACTACACATACAATGAGCATTCGGACACACAAGGACAGTCAACACACAGAGAAACCAACTCTGAGCAAACACTTTTCACAAGCAAGTCTGATCAGGTTTAGACTTCTACTTTAAGGCAACCAAATAAATCCATCTTCTGATCTTACCAGAAAAAAATGCTAAATCCCTAAAGCCACATCTCTTTGAAGAATAACTATACATGGTCCTTCAAGTGATCCGTGCAATGCCTGACACAGCATGGCACTGGTATGCACTCTTAACTCTCTAAAGTATTTTCTGCCCCTTTCAAGAAACATTTAACAGTAGCTGTCCATGGCAACAATATGTTAATATTTCATCTTAAAAGCCAAGCTGGGTGTCTGCGTCTGGCTGAGTGGGGGTAACTACATTTGTCTCCTCAGTGCAAATCTTTTGTCTAAGCTGAGGGTTGAGTTGGATGGATTCCAGGATGACTTATCACCCTGCCATGTGGGTGGCAAACGCGGTGAGCCCAATATACACCAAACTGGGGGCCTGACATGCACACATGACAAAATACACACACAAGAAGCAACATAGATATTAATTACAACAAAGCATTATTATGTACTGTAATACCTGAGTTTTGCTGTTAAACAAGATTACTGTTACTTTGTATTTGAATTCTGTCCTCGAACTGTGCATGCACCTGCATACACAAGCAAGCGCACCAGACATGCACAGCTATATATAAAGTTATGCATACGTTACATTGCTCTATGAATCACACACACACACACACACACACACACACACACACACACACACACACACACACACACACACTCACTCAATCTAAACTCTGCAACTGACTAATTATTTGTTTGCAAAAGCTTTTGCATACAATCTTAAACCCCAAATCTCACCCACAAATCATCTTAACCATCCCCAAGTTACCTGTGCAATCCTGCATTTGAGCTCTGCCTTCTCCAGTTCCCAGGCACATCTGTCTCTGGTGTACTGCAGCTGGAGCTCGCTCCTCTTCTCCTCCTCTCTCTTCACCTCCGCCTGCACTTCCTCCAAAACCGTCTTCAGGTCCAGCAGAATCCTCCTGTTCTCCCCTCCCTGCATGGAGACACAGTTGGCAGCGATCTTGTCAAATATAAGAAGTTGAACTGGCATATTTGAAACTGAAGAAATTAGAAAAGAACTAAAAAGGAAATTAGTCCTTGATAATAAACTGATTCTGTATCTGTGTCTTATACATTTTTGGATTTGAAGCTCTGGAATATTCTGGGAATATGAGTTGATGCCACAAAACACAACAGATTCACTGTGAACCTATGCACCATTGACAAACTACTAAAGGCACACACACAGAAATATATTCAGCTTTCACAAGGGTAGTAAGTATATCCAGTTACTTGTATGTCAGCCACTTGTCTCAGCAGTGACTCTTTCTCGCGCATCCATCCTTCCTTGTCCTGTACGTGTCGCTTTTTCAAATCTTCAAATTTCCTTTTAAGTCGCATGTGTTGTGTTTGCTGCTGCTGCTGCTGCTGCTGGGGTTCTGGACCCGGCCACATTTGTCCCCTGAGAACCTCAAGCTGCGTCCCTGCTCCACCCTCTCCTCCTCCCGCCGGTGAAGCACCGAACTGGGGCTCGTAGAGCTGACTGAAGACAGTAGGCGGAGAGGAGATCCTCCTCAGCGGGCTTCGGCTTTTGCCCCTGCCTCTATCTGCCCTGTCCATCCTGGAGCACGGCACAAACTCCCATCCCTGAGACGGGACATAGCCCCCTCCAGCACCGCCCCCACCGTGCAGCCCCGAGCCGTTCATAAACGCACTCCACATTCCTCCAGCGCATTAAAATAAAACATTTAAAAAATCTATTTAGAAAATCAAGAGAGTTAGAAGCTGGTCACCAAGCTATTTTGAAAATATCCATTTCTGCTTTAAAAAGCAAAAGTTTGAATCAGTTTTGATACAGTTCAGCATACTTTCCACATCTCCCGACTCAGACTGGTTTTCAGTCGGTGACCGGTGGCATACTGAATTATCCAAACCCAGCCAAATCCCCCGTCGGCCACACAGCAGCGCTCAGGGCAGCAGCCACCGCAGCGCTCACACAGGCGACGGGACCGGACGCTGTGGTCCCTTCCATATCCTCACAGAGACCCGGTCATCTTGTGCAACAGTCCCCACGGTGTCCTGGTTTTCTTTTCTTCCCTTTGCTTTTTTTATAAGACCTCCTCACCACTACAGCCGTTTGTTTTCACATGTTTCTACTGAAATCTCAGGACGCACTGTGTCCTCTCTCTCTCCCGCACAGACTCGTTGTAGGCGACAATCCAGAGACACCCAGTAACCACTCCGACGCGCCTGGGAGAAGTTCCCAAAAATATCGCGGAGCGCACTGATGTAAGAGCAGCGGAGTATTTTTAGCCCTCTGTACCCATGAGTTTATTTTCCTAAAGCCAGATAGCTGAACGGCGTCTGGAAGAGGCAGCGGAGGGACATCCGTTAATCAACACCGGGCCGCTCTAATTACGTCGCAGGATGCCACCTTACGCTGTATCCATGGCAACGAATCAATTTACGCACGGCGCCGCGGTGGACTCGATAAAGCAGCGGTGTGCTAACATACTCACTCACTTTAAAGGCAACAAACAACGACCCGGGAGCAGCAATGGTTACACTCAATGTCAGACAATCTTACAAAACACTCGGTAGGTGTCTTACCTTGCCCGTAAAATTGGCTATTTTAACCTAATTTCCTCTTTTCTCATCCGTAGGAGGAGTACTCCCACCCTGCTGCCATCTGCTATCATAGCATGCGAGGGGGATGACTATCACGAGGAGAGCGAAGAGGGGTGGGATTTTATTCATCCTGCTTCAAGAGATAACATAAGTAGCTAGCCAGTGTGCATCTACAGTAGCCTGTCTGTGAGATTAGGCCTGCAAAAAGTCACAAAGGCTAGTAACTAGTAGTAGACTAAGTAATAAAACTAGTGATGTTGACGGTTTTCTGGTGTTCCGCTCGAGCGCCATTAAAAGTTGAATCACAGCTTCCACTAGCCACATGAAGCACGTGAACAGACCCTTACCTGTTCCTCTAATAAGGTCCTGAATGCTGCAGTCAATGTCCCTGAAAAAAACAGCCACGAGAACTTACATTTCAGCCAACGAAGTAGCAGAAATGAAGTCTGGACTGGAATGCAGTGGCTTAGTTAAAAACAACTGGAGAGCGACAGCCTACAGCTGAAATGATGCTTTCATTAACGGGAATAAAATCCTCCTCTCTCTCTCTCTCTCTCTCTCTCTCTCCACAGCTGGGTCTAATATGTGACGTAAAACATCCCACCGGTGGGATGAAAGAAGTGGACCGGGTCCGCCCCCGTCCTGGTGGTCAGGTCCGTTGGTTAAACAGATCCACCATCAGCACATTTTGGCTTGATCTTTCAGACCCACCCATGGGCATTTTTTTTTACACAATTCTGAATGTCTAATAACCAAATATGTGTCCAAATATGGGTAAAATGTCAGTGGTCCTATCATATTCCCCCATGGACGTTTGGGTGATCTGTTACAGATTATGTTGACATTATGTTGAGTCAGACAGTATATTTGCCTAAGAAGAACTTGCAAGAGACATGTGCCTAATGTTTGTTTCAGTGCCAGATGGTGTATGAGTGTCAATGTAATTATTGTGAGTGTGAGCTTGAGTGTGTGTATAGTCACAGACTTCAGTCTTTATAATGTACTTCTCATAGACATGGTTATTGCTGCTGCCACATGAAAACCTCCACTAGAGTCCACTAGATAAAGCTGAAAAATTATGATACACACAATAAAACAAGGCTGTTTTGAGCTCTTCGGATTTTGTTGAATTTTTTTAAATAGATTTTAGCACTCATGATAACGTTTTTAAATTGAATTAAAGGTCCAGCACACCTACAAGTATTTCCAGTTACTGTGGCTGATCAGACCTCTGCTCAGGTTGAAATCAGACTGAGCCATGCAGGGAATTACAGAATGTCCCCAATGTATGTGCTAATAAGAGTCAAAATATTGTAAACTAATAAGAAAGTGAGACAGATGTCAATCACAGCACAGTAAATGTCTTGAAAAGCATCTAATTAGGCATAGTAAGAGAAAATGCCTGTGTGGGTATACTGTGGGTGGGTAGGTCCTTTGAGAATGCAACATTTACAAAACTGGAACTTAAATTGACAGCACAAATCTCATTACTCACAGTCAGAGAGTTTAATGACACACTCACCTAACGCTCCACTGTCGCTCCTCTGTGCTTGCTCTCCAATAAATGATGAAAGCGTCTGAGTAGATGGGTGGCTTGGATCATACACGGAAAATGATAATGTCCTGTACCTTGAGTGACCTTACGTGGCGCGTTCAACATAACAGAATTGAAATGAATGAATAAGTAAAAAAGAAATAATGTAAAACGGACATAACAAGATACTGAGTGTGTGCTTTACAGAACAAAGAACAAAGTGAAAAGGAATACTAATTTAAAAATGGTGGCATAAGAGAGTGAGGAAAACAAAACAAGAATGAGGATCAGCAAAATAATGGGCTGAAACATCTTTATGGATGACAGTTAAATGAAGGGGGGGGGTGACAAGCAGTGAGAAAAGTGCATATTAGAGAACACACACATTACAGTCATTAAAGTAAATCATGTTTATGTGTTTGCATCCCCTTACAGACAGTGGCTCCTCTGCCTGTTTATCCTCCTGCTTGGGCACATCCAGCCGGTCTATGAAGCCTTGCAGCTCCTTCCTGAAGGCTTTCATCTGGGCGTTGATACGATACAGCAGCTCATGCTCTCTGATCCTGTGGAGCAGAGGTAGAGTATGTTTGGTATTGAAATATCTCTTGAATTCAATAGGTAATACTGAGATTCCTAACCGCTTTTATGCATTTATTACCTGCCACCTTCCTCGTCCTCATCCAGCCTGGCAAACAGCTCCCCATTGGTGACGTATACTCGGGCCTCAGCGATGATAGTGCTGGTGTCAGCGATGAGCCTATCGATGGTCCGACCCAGCCTCTCCGCCTCGATGCGGATGTCTATCATCTGCTGCCGGTCCTTCAGGCTTCGGGATAAAAAACGACTGTCTACTGGTGAGTAAAGGGATCGTGTTGGGGTGAGACAGCGGATGTTCCTCACCTCATCTGAGTCACTCTCCCCTCCAATAGGGCCCTCACGCTTGCGGTGGGGCGGGAGGAGGCGAGGGGAGGAAGCCGAGGCAGAGGGGGTGTCATCGTCTCGTCCTCCGTCACTCTCTGCGTCACTGTCCCGAGGGCTGCCGCGGATTCCCAGATGGGAGGCCAGGTCGTAGCGCTGCATATTGGAGAGCAGCACACGGTTCTCGTACTGGAGCTGCATCACTTTGCCACTCAGCTCATTGATCTGCAGACGCGCCGCTTTCAGCTCCTCCTGGAGGGCCTCCACTTTAGCGGGGTCAGCTCCTCCTGGGGTTGAAACAAGGCAACAATGAAAAGTGGAACACCTCTACAAATGAGACTTTAATGTGCCCCTCCTGGAGGCTTTATGAAACACATTTCTTATACAGATTTATTAAGCTGAGATAGAACAGGCTTCTTGCTCTGCAGTGCAGTTGTTTTGTCTCCTGCACAACAGCTTACTGAAAAAAAACTGTGACAAACAAACAAACAAACAAACCTCCTCCATGTCTCGACCCAGCTTCATGGGATCCAGCCTTGTATTTCAGTTTATTGAGTTCACCTGTTACCTAAAGATGAAACTGATGGTTATTCCCATGTCTATTTAGTGCTGAATACCTCACACATTTGAATTTCTAATGTATGAGGCTTAGATAACAGACAGCTTTTATAAAAGGCCTCAGTCATTGATGATACCAATAATTGCACCAGATACACAAGGAAAGAGGAGACACATTACATTTTACATTGCTGAAATTAAAGCAGCATTGTGTTGCCTAGTAACATCAGAGAGCACACGTCATATATTATTTACAGTCTGTTGAATTTTTGATGGAAATATTTAAAATTTCACAATGCTTAACAAGGCTTCAAACAGAGGGAGAACAAAATAGATAGTAGTCCCAGACAGGAGGCCATACTGAAGGCAAATGTACAATTCTAGTTCATGAAGTAGTTACTGTAGAGTTCAGTTCTAATCTAAGTAGTCCTTGGATCTTGCAAAAACAATGCTCTTGAAGAAATTGGCCCTTCTACCTTTTTGTTCTCTTCTTCCACATCTGCTAAATTCCTACGGAGAAGTTCTGCCTCGTCTTCCACCAGCTGAAGCTGCTGCCTCAGCTCTGACAGGGCCTCACCCTGCTCTCTGCACTGCTGACCTCCGCTGCCAGAGCCGTCCAGTCCTGCTGCCGCCATACTAGGAGAGGAAAGAAGCATTGATAACTGTGAAATGTAGTTCAGTATCACCATACAGCGAGATGAGTTGAGTTAAAACACATCAAGAATCTGATGAATGAAATGCAAAGTACCTGTCCTCCCTCATGTCATCCAGTTCAGCCTTCAGCCCTCTGTTCTCCACCTCCAGCTCCACAATCTTCCTCCCCAAGATGTTCGCCTCCTCCTCCACCAGACGTAAGCGGAGTTTCAGCTCTGATTCACGGGTGGTGGGAGGCCCTCCAGCCTCGCCTTTAGGCAGAGGGCTGTCCACGTCCCCGTAGAAGGAGCGGTACTTCTGCAGCTCCTGCTCCAGTCGGTCCTTCTCCTTGTCAATCTTTGCCATTTTTTTCCTCATCAAAATGGCTTCCTCCTTGATGAAGGCCAGCTGGCATTTCAAATCATCATTTTCTTCCTGTGAAGAGAGTTTGGCCATTACTTTCAGTCTTCTTAGTGGTACATTTATGTTCACAAAGTCAACATGGAAGACAACTCAGTTTTTCTCCTGTGAGTTCTAATTAGTTTGGTAGCGTGCTTAAAATTGTACATTCCTGGGAACAGTTTCATTGCCTCTGCACATATTGCAATTGTAAAGTTTTTCCTTAATGTTACTTTCACTCACAACAAATTACGACTCTGGTGCCTAGTTCTGCATATTACATTTTGTTTTAATTTGGAAATTACATTGCAAAACAACCTCATTATTAAACATCGCCATTGAAGTTTATAACTTTATAATCTAATAACGTAAATGCTGACTCACCTCGATCGGGGTCTGTGGAGCCCTTCTCTCTGCTTTCTGTCCATCCTTACTTCCTTTTCTTTTCAGTGAGAGCTGGAGGGAAACAGTGGTTACATCATCATCATCATCATCATCAGCTCACTGTTTTCTTACTGAACGCAGTGATATCATCTGGATTTATGGAGCACTGAAGGCCCGGTAATGGAAAAACAGGACTGTTTGTCAGCCACAGGAACATTTCTGGTAAAATATTCAAAATCGAATCATGGTGCTCTCAGTGCAAGTGTGTTTTTATAGGCTGAACACCCCCAAAAAGAACTTTGTTATTGCTTTTGTCATGTTTGTGAGTAGGAAGGAGTATCTTTAAAACAATCTGCTATGGAAATTAAAATTATTTGTATTATTTACATTTTGGTAACACAAAAAGTAGGAAAAAATTATAATATATAATACAAACAACAATACAAGAAACAGTATGCCAGAGGTTAAGAAAATATAAACATAATTAATAAGTGAGTCGGTTGGTCCATAAAATAGTGAAAGAATGTTGACCACTGTTTCCCAAAGCCCAAGGTGACCTCCCCAAATGTAAAACATATAGAACTGCGTATGTATATTGTGACTATAGCCTTTATATGTCAGAGATTAACATCTATACTATGCACCAACTTGGAAACACTATATGTTGAAACACATACAAGTGATGATACTCAAAGCGTGTTTTCATAATATCTTCAACCTGACTTTTAATGTGGTTCAGGCCATAATTTACATTTAAGACAACAATAGACACACTCCCATCAGCCCCTCACCTCTTTGGCTTTCTCCAGTTCATTCTGCAGGGCCTGCTTGGTGACCTCCACCTCTATCAGCTGCTGCCTCAGCTTCTCATTCTCTTCCTCAGTCTTCATCCTCTTCTCCTCCACATTCTCCAGCTCATGGTGCAAACGCACAGACACATCCTTCGCCACCTAGGAGGGGGGCCGGAGACAGAGAGAGGGGGAAAGACAGAAGTTGTTATGAGTCATGAATATGAAGGAATAGAATAGAATAATGCTCACAGACTCACTTTGAGGTCTTGCTCCAGACTTCTGAGCAGCTCTCCATCCACCTGGCCACTTTCTGCGAACCTGAGCCTTTTCCTCTCAGCCTTCTTCAGTCTGTACTGAAGGATCCGACAGTTCTTGTTGGCTCTCTCCAGCTCTCTGCGCATGTCCTGCAGCTGGCAGGCGTCTTCCTCATAGAAGGTGTCCCGCATCTCATCCATCTCTGCCCGCATCTCCTCGATTTCAGTCTACAACACGGAGGAAAAAATCAAAAGGCTTCACAAACTAAATAAATCCAACCAGGGTCAACAAAGGAAACTTGTTTAGGGCCTTTAAAAAATATTTTTTGAAAACAGCATGAAGATACGTGCAGTAATTATGATGCAGTCTGCAAGCAAATACAACAGGTGCGACCATTGCGCACGCGACATAGGCTGCATAAACAAGCATAAATTGTCAGGCGTATATTGTGTTATCAATTTACCTTCAGATCCTCGTTTTCATCCTCCAGCTTCTCTATCTCTTCTTGTAGTCTCCGGTCCGGTTGTGGAGCCGGTTGTGGACTGTCGGGCTCTGGGGACAGCTCCGGCTCTGAGGCCGGCGGTGATGCTGATTTTGTCTGCATCTTTGTCCCTTTCTTCCCCAAGCTCTTATTCAAG